ATTGGTCGATGTTTTGGGACACAATAACCTTGATTCTAGCTAATTCTGAGTTTGATCATGAGAGAGAGAGAGAGAGAGAGAGAGAGAGAGAGAGAGGGGGGGGTTAACGTCCACTCGACACAAACTAGGTCATTTTGGGACTAACATATGGTTCAATTTTATTTCAATAATTCGCTTGCGCGTAGGGGTCTTCAGCAGTGGGAGAAAACCGGGGGACCCGGAGAAACCCCACGAGGTTAGTCAGACGACCCTACTCTTTGTCATGTACAAGCTTGGGCTGGAAACCACACCACTCGACTCAATGACAGACACACAGACAAGGGCGGCTTCATAATATGTTCACATTATGAAATGAAATGGGGTTTAACGTCCCACTGTTCTGCTCCGACTGAGCTAATGAAGACGGTACACATTATGAATGTGGACGTATACAATTGGTTACGAATGCAACTCAAACTGCACTGTGAGTGTCATAGGCGTACGTGGCCGAACTTGTTTGGGGGGGGGGGGCAGCATATTTTCCCGACAAATATATTTCTTTAGAGTCCGCTAGTTCTATTCAGATGGCGTACGTGTTCATCATTGACTGGACTGCTTTCTTTCCGCTTCCATATTATTAAAAATATTCAAAACCCGACAGACGGCACGACGCTTCCCGACAAACTGAGCATTCATTCCCGACAAGACCATAGCCTTCCGAATATCATCGTGGCCGCTTATAACATTGATCATGAAAGTCGACAACCCGACAACCCGACACCACGACATTTTTACCCGACATCACGACATTTTTAGTGTCGTAATGTCGGGTAAAAATGTCGTGATGTCGGGTAGAAATGAAATGTCGTGATGTCGGGTAGAAATGTCGTGATGTCGGGTTGTCGTGTTGTCGGGTAGAAATGTCGTGATGTCGGGTTATGAAAGGCGACATTACGACATGATACCAATCAGCCACCATAGTTCATTTCTAGATTTGCTGCCATACTAAATAAACGTATTTTTAAAGACTGGTTTCTATCTCTCTCTCTCTGGGCAATTAAATCTAAAATTTAAGACTCGAACCCTCTATTTTTTGGAGTACAGTAAGCTTGGCCTAGAATCGTGTACTTATTATTACAAGTAAGTGAAGTTTTTTTGCTGTTTTGAAGATGGTTTAGAAATTTAGGAAATTTATCGGAAAAGACATTTTTTAAAACCTGTCATGTGCCGGCCAGAAAGAAGACAAAAGGGAAAAGAAACGGGCAGAATGGATATAATTAAAGTGTACTGTTCTTTAGTTTTAAATATATTAAACACTTTATTGAATGTTTTTTTTCGATTAGAAAATTGCTCTCTGAACTATTTTGTTATTGGTAAAAACTCCTCAGAATCGCTGAGAATGCATATTTAGACACCATTTTGTAACAAAAATTCACAAAATTGTAAAAGACCCCACCCCTCTAGCACCTCACGCCAGCAGCGTTCGGTTATATAGTCGGTCCTTTTGTTTCACAAACGAACCCGCCCACCTTGCTTCCAGCCTACGGGCACGACTCTGTATGAACAATTATAAATTTCTAAAGAAAATATTCTTTAAATTATTATTAGGATCTATACTATAAAATGTTACATTTATTTCAATTGGGATTGAATATTGATATGTTTAGTAGTGTGTGTAGCTTGTTTTAGTTTGTATAAATTAAAAGATTTGTAGGCCTGTACATTTGTGTATCCAATTGAATACACAATTTGTCAAAGACTTTACGTAGTCTTCGAACACTACTAGGAATGGAGGCGGAGCTGGAATCTCAGTAGTGTAAATTTTTTCTAGTTCTTGTAGTGTACATGAGAGAAAAAATGATGCTGAAAATACCCCCAGAGTGCGTTTTAGAGCGCCTAGTTTTCAAAAAATTTTGGTGGAGGACCCCAGAACCCCCCTCCTTACCAACAGTCGCCCGCGCATGAACTGTCCCTACCACTAATTTTGGGCGATCTGCGCCCAATAGACTCACTAGTGGTACTACTCTGGGGATTCACATTTCTCTTAGACCAACAGAATATGAGTGAAAAACATTTTGTCAAACATGACAAGTTGGCAAGGTTATTTTATACTATAGTTTTGTGTGACGATTGCAATTTAGGTGCACAGATTCACGCAAATTCAGTATTTGACATTTTTCCGTTCTATTCTGGTATTGGTTGTTTACTTCATTAATTCATTTAGTCGCCGATGCATAATTTTGAGACCAACTGCAGTGACTGCACTTATTTTGAGACCGACTATTTCTCTCCCTTTGGGGAATTTTTCCTTTAGACCAAAATACTCACAACAGAATAAGGGTAAAAACATTTTATCAAACATGATAAGTTTACAAGGTTATTTTATACTAAAGGTTTGCGTGAGTAACCAGACGTATGCAATTTAGATGCACGGATTCATGCAAATACATAATTGGGATTTTTCCTTCTATTTTGGCATTGTTTGTTTACCTTGTTAATCCAGTGAGCACTTATTTTGCGATCGACTGCACTTATTTAGGCCTCAAGGCATACGCCATGCAGTGTGCTATGAGGGAAATTTTTCCACTAAGTGGCACTAAAGCCTACTCTTATATCGGATTCCAACTGCCAAGGGATCTTTTACATGGATGCAAGTTGTACACGTGACCTCAGTTTTTTGTCCCATCCGAACAACTAGACAGCTGTCCTTCTCAGGCCCTCCGTCCTGCACTACTGACAACACTGGAATCGAACCCGCTACCTCCAGACCAAGAGAGCCAGCGTCTTAATTACCCTCTGTTACTTTTTTTCCGTATGCAAATGAGCTTCGTCGTAGATTCCATATAAGGTATATCTTCTAATACACTAAGTTCTACGTTTTATGCATTTGTAATGCAGAATGGAGAAGTGTAATGTGGAAAATAACTATTATACTGTATTTGTATTATTGAAAAGTGTATTCTGTATTTAAAAACTGTGACAATGGTATTGTGCAACAATGGAAAATGCAAATTGTAAAACTAAAATATGTATTTTGTACTGCTGACATGTGCAGTTTGCACCATGAACATTAAAATAATATTGGCAACGTTATGATGCTTTAGAGCATCTACTAAGATTTTTCAACATGATCAAGGGCCATAACTCCGAGAGTAATAATCAGCAATCCTTGAAAATCAATAGGGTCCGTCCTCTCATGACCTTAAACACTGTCCATCAGATGATAACTTACGTCTCTAGAGCATCCACCAAGATTTTTCGAAGTGATCAAGAGCCATAACTCTGGCAGTATCCTAATTATATGAAATCGTTGGCAATCAATAGTCTTTTTAGTCTCATGACCTTAAACACTGTGTATAAATTTAAAGTGAATAATAACTCTAGCCTTTGATAGACCAAAGGCTCAGCGGGAGGGGGGGGGGGGGGAGGGTGTCCATCAAATGGGCACAAAACCAGACCCAACTTTTCTAGAGTAAAATTTTGAGAAGAATACTATGCCGAGTGGTAATCAGTCCGCCATTGGGGCGTTTTCGAGATATTCAGGGTCAAAGGTCAAATGAGTTCATTTGCACTGAAAGTGAATGCGCAGTCATTCTTGTATTATGAAAAGAAGTTGAAAATGATCGAAAGTAATCACACTTTCAATAAAAATGCAAACTTGCTAAATTCACCTTTAGTCTTAGTGACCCTGGAGGTCAAAAGGTGAAATTTACCGTTTTTGCACTAGGAAGATTTAAAGCAATAAAATGTCAACGTAAAATATAACCAGCGGCTGCCAGGCAGGATACGCCCACATTTTCGAGAGATGGATAGAGAACAAGCTAAAAAGAAAGTGATTTTTCCTACAATCAAGGGCCATAATACAGGAAATTACAATTCGATATGCGTAAATATCGAAAGGAACCGAGATCTTTGTGTTATAAACTTACATTTCATGTTTCAACAAAATCGGATTAAAATTGTGACCTCTATAGGGTCCACAGCCTTGATATACCATATTTTTACGCTATTTGAGAACGAACAGCGGCCATTTTGTCTGTCAGTTTTGGGCCGATTTTCACGAAATTCGAACTCGGCCATTCTTAGGGTTTAATGGTGATATAATAATACGGTTTTTTAAATCAGATAAAAATTATGACCTCTATAGGGTCCACAAGCTAAAAACGCGATTTTTCGTACAATCAGGGGGCATAATTCAGGAAGTTACGGTCCGATATGCGCGAATATCAAAAGGAACCGAGATCTTTGGGTTATAAACTTACATTTCAATTTTCAACAAAATCGGATAAAAATTGTGACCTCTATTGGGTCCACAAGCTAAAAATGTGATTTTTCGTACAATCAGGGGCCATAATTCATGAAGTTTCGATCCGATACATGCCGAGCTTCCAGACTATGAAGCGTCCAGAAGAATTTTCAATGTGATTACGGGTCATAACACTGGCATTAATTATCAGAAATACACTGTGTATAAATCTGAAGTCAGATATTAACTTTAGCCTCTAGAGCATCCACAAGCAACCAACCGACGGGGGGCGACGATGGTATATGACCACATTTCAATGTAGGCGTATAAAAGTTAAACTAATCCATAAATAATTGTAGCACAAGACGTTGGTGCATACTAAAAATTGCATGAATAGGCCACGTCCGCATCCATATTTCAGACAAAATTTATAGGGATCATCTTCTCAATGCAAAAGACACACAAAATAAAAATAAAAAGAATCCATGGACTGAAAGGGAGATCAAAATGCATTTCAGAAAGGAAGCTTTCTGAGACAGTCTGCCTTTTCGTACAGAAGTAAGGGTGATTTGATCTAACCACTTCATTGCCACTGTACATATTTTATGTCTTTGTTGCCCAAGCCAAAGTGTCTGTTTCTTGGTTAAATAAAAGATCTGACCAAATCAATTGGACACAAAGTTCTTAAATATGTTATTAGACCTTACCTTATGTAAGCGGTAACCTTTTTTGATTTAGAATATGGCCTTTTCTTTTCAATTACAATCAACGAACAACCCATTTTCTGTTTTATTAACTTTTTAAAAAATGAAGCGTATAATAGGCTATGTATTTTAACTACACATATAATAATGCTAAGAAGGTTAGAGTACATAAAACTAACAATTACTTCAAAACATAGTTGAAAGACATAAAAATATGATATGTAAATTACAATAACATCATTTATTATTCATAATTTTATATACATAGATTTAAATGAGCATAGTAAATACTTATGGTGATACATTTGTTCACAGGCTGCATGTGTATATGTTCTTTTCAAAAATGCAAATAATGTTGTTTCCAAAATAAGAGCCATGCACATGCTTTAGTGATTTGGCTGGAGTACATAAAATTATAAATTGATAACATTACTGTAATTAACAAGCCAACATTGATGTCCCACACCGAAATCTCAAAATAAATAGATGACACCTATTGATTAATTTATCTTTTTCAAAAGTATGAAGCAATCACACTGATTATCTATACTGATTATCTAGTCTAAGCATAAAATGTTCATGATCAAACTCCGCCAAGGATAGAATCAAAGTTATTGTGTCCCAAAGCATCGACCAATGAAATTGCGTAGCTCTGCTTAGCTTTAGTGGGAAATGTTAATCATTGAACTTAGTCAAGACATTACCTAATGAACATCTACATCAAGTTTAAACATTCTACCACAGTTAAAAGCAGAGTTGTTATCTTCCAAAGGCTTGACAAATCAAATTGCTTATCTCTACTTAGCCTAAGCAGAAAATTTACATCACCGAACTTAGTCAAAGTATTGATATAGAGAATCTATATTCAGAATTTTATCTCTCTCACCAATTTAAAACCAAAGTTATCGCGATCCTAAGTCTCAACCAATCAAATTGCTTATCTCTGCTTAGCCTTAGTGGAAAATGTGCATGATCAAACTCTGTCAAGGCATTCACCTAATAGACAACTACACAAAGTTTGAACATTTTACTTCGATTAGAGGGAGAGTTATTGTGTTCCAAAATCTTGACCAATCAGATTGAGGTCTATACTTCGCCCAAGCAGAAAATGCTCAGTATCAACCTTTTTAAAGGGACTGATGTAATGAAACTATACACGAAGTTTCACCACTATCACTCACTTAGAATCAAAGTTATTCAGCTTTTAAGTCTCGACTAATCAAATTGCTTATTGCCTGCTTACCCTTAGCAGAAAATGTTCATTATCAAACTTAGTCAAGGTATTGATGTCATGAAACTAACACCTAGTATCATCACTCTCACTTAATTAGAACCAAAGTTATCGTGTCCCAAAGCATCAACCAGTCAAATTGCTTATCTATGCTTAAACTAAGCAGAAAACACTCATCTTCAAACTCCATCAAGGCATTCACCTAATGAACACCTAACATCAAGTTTGAAAATTCTACATCTACATTAATTAGAAGGCAAGTTATTGTGTTTCAAGACTTGACCAATCAAATAGCTTATTTCTTTGATTACCCTGAGCAGAAGATGCTCATTATCAAACTTAGTCAAGGTATTGGGGTAATGAAACTATACACCAAGTTTCATCACTCTCACTTAATTGGAACTAAAGTTATTGTGTCCTAAAGCATCAACCAATCAAATTGCTTATCTTTGCTTACCATTAGCAGAAAATGCTCATCTTCAAACTCCATCAAGGCATTCACACAATAAACACCTACACCAAGTTTGAACATTCTAGCTCAAGTACAAGGAGAATTATTGTGTCCCAAAAAGTGTGAAGAACGGACAGACCAATTTTAATAGTCCCCTGCTTTCTTCGAAAGGTGGGGGACAATAATAAGGAGCAAATATAGACAGCAAATAATATAAACATTAAATTTAACATGGGCTTATCTTGATTAAATCAAAAAACATTCAATGGCTATGTTCAAGAATAATGATGCTGTTAAAATTTAATCCACTATTTGTCTAATTAAATTTAAAGCAGCCATTTACCTGGTTGATTACCAATATTGTATATTTTAAAAAATTATACTATTTATTTCAATGGATCTGCATGTATGTATAGATTCTAAAGTGATTTTAAAATTTATTATCTAGGACAATTTGAAATCTGAATTTAAAATACATTATGCAAGAGATAAATCTGTCTATTGCAGATCTTTCTTTAGGCCTGAAATGTTATCTAACGTATTAATTAGACATTAATTAACCTATCCAGACCATAATCTCCTCTTGATGGCATCGCTAGCCTGCGATCGTTAGTGGATTATGAGCCGATTTAATGAGTAACTTTCCTTCACGATTTAATGATTAAGTGGAAAATCGAGACTATGTTGTTTATCATACTGACTTTAGTAATGATGATCGAGGCTAGGCGGAAATTTCAATCGCTTAATTATCGGTTCATAGTGGATAATTTGAATGAAATTTTCAGCAAATTGACTTTACATTATCTAGTTTTTAACTATTATAGTGAGAACTGCCAACTCGTTATCTAATCTCCCATAATGTATCTTTAATATAAGATTTTAAATCATATATTCAAGTAATAATGCCCTTTATATTGTGTTTTATTTGATGATTTATTCAAAACTAATATTTAGTTGGTATTATGATAACAGTCCAAATTTTCTCAAACCTAATTAACTTCTAAACATAAAAATATTTTTGATTAGTTTTTTCATATATTAAGCAAAAGTAGGTATCAGAAATACCAAGAACATTGATAATACCTACATAATTAGTTATCATTTATGTTTTTTGGAAAACAAGCATAAAAATAAACAATGATAATAATAATAATAACAAAATTAAGCAGAAGCTTCATACATTATTTGTAAAAAGATTAACTGTTTTATTTACAACCTTATTACCATAACAACAAAATCGGTAATAATTCACTAAAACCAAATATACCAGTAAACATGTTTTATATAATATTGTTGTTATAAAATGGGAAAAAAAAGAGCATTTAACATATATACAATAGAAGATTCATGATAAAAAATATCCTTAATGTGATGCACAAATAAAATGTAGTTTCCAAGAAATTTAATCTTCCTCCTTTTTTATCAGAAATCATACGTGACCCCCCCCCCCCCATGGCATACTGAGTCGCAATGAGGATATTGTGAAAATTGAGTTATGGTTATTTTCATATTCTCCAACTCATTACCTTCAATTTGATGTATAGTTTGATTGAATTGGGCAAAAATTGACTGAACTGTGTCCATTTGAAGCTACCCAACTCACAAAAGTAAGTTTTAAGAAAAAGCAAGTTAAAGATTTGGTATGTTCTAAAAGAAAATCCCATAGCAACCAGGACATTTATTTGAATATATCTTTCCATGGGTTTTCAGGGGTGCTGAAGTTGAAAAGTGTAGTAAAAATTTGATCCAACGATTTCCGCCATTTATTTGCTATTTTATTTAGGATTTCAAGGGTGCTGACGACAAAAAACGTACTAAATGCACTCCTTTCGTAACGAAACATCCACAACACATCCGGGATATTCACATTATTGACAAATAATCTATACATTAGTAGTCTGTTTTGTATATTATAACTTTGGTGAGATTAACAGTTAATCTCATCAATTAATGAGCACCTTAGTGCCAGCTATTGGTCATGAAATTAAAATTGTTGATTGTATTATCATCAAAGAAGCCACCACAGCTGTACGCGTGTTAATTTAACATGTGAATTAAAATAATATTTTGCGTGTACGATAGGTCTATTATTACTTTCAGGTACCGTAACGTTATCAAAATATGAGTCCCTATAGAAATGTCAATTTCAAAGTCAAGAAATGCTTACGTTCACTTTCGTGCATTTTAGCTATGATGTAATTAAACAATGGCAGACTTGAGAATCGTCGCATTTCGGCTCGTTGGTCGTTCTCATTATTTAGACCCAAGGTGATACGAGAATTTTAAATAATAATTTCCAAGATGCATTCCTTACTTTGCATGCCGTATGAAGAAGGGACAGTAAACGAAATTCAGCTATCAATAAAATTCTCTTCGAAAAGAAAATTATTGGTTATTTTGTTTATTTCTATTTAAGGCCTACAAATTATTTTTTTAAAGATGATATGAGATATCAAACAATCACCGCTTGGATTAATTATTCGGAGTAAATAATGAGTTATCGACGGCTTTATCATTGACCTGTGACAGTTGATTAGTATTACTTAATGACACACACCCGCTTGTCGATTAATTTACATAATCAGCCACGTGGTTTTAATTAACACTCTACGGCAATCTATATACGATCAGAATTAATTTTTTTCTGCCACTTATCAGCGTGAATTGCATGTAGGTACCCAAAAACATTATCGCCAAAACCAAATATTTATCGCCCGCTCGAGCTAGCCACCTAACCATACGTGTCTGGGCTAATCAGCAAACGAGTTGTGTAGACAGCATAGCAACAAGCGGAGTTTGTTTACATTTTTTAGGTGTTTTAAAACTCAACTGTATCCGTCCAAAATCAATTCATCGGCAATACTTTGATCATATTTGTAAACTAAAGATTCTCTGCTTTACAACAATGCCAATTATTATGCAAGAGGAATGACCGGTTGTCCCGGTGTGAACGAAGAAAAATAACTAATTTTGCCGAGAATTTTAAGAAATAGGACAGATTTAAAAATCCGGTACTCTTACAAAACGTTCAAATAAAGGTGTTTTAAAATCTTTTATTGCTATTTTGATCTTTTGTGCCGATAGATATTATATTTATAGAGTCATTTTTGTGAAAATCTCAATTTTGATCAAAATCAATATTTTCACTTATTTTATCTCTAGTCAAAAATTATATTTTGTGCATTCCGACTCATTTTGATTTACGCGGTCACATATGTTAACCATAGTTTTAGGAAAACTCAACTGTGTAAGTTATAACAGAATCAATAATTAATCCACATATTTGAAAGTGTTTTTATAGGTACTTCTTTGTACTAGAAAAAAATTATGTATGTCATTTTAAATTATAGAATTTGACAGAAGAATTGATAATTTTTACTATAAATGTTCTATTTAGCACAGTAAATAGCATGTAGATATATAATGAGTAACTTTAAGCAATACATAATTTTAATATCAATTATATATAAACAAAATACATGATAGATGTGTAATAAATAAGCTAAGACAAACATTAAAATTGGAATGTTATAGATATTATGTTAGCTTTTTCAGTCTGATTAAAATATATACCAGTATCAATTATTTGTTTCTTTTTATAAGGCAGTATTAACCTAAAAGATCATGTATATTTCATGTATTTTCATGCTTTAAGTTAAGATTATACATGTTAGATATATCCATGGTATAATCTGACTGCCCATTATACATGTATATAATATAACTGCCTGTTGCATGTATATTTCATGGTACATGTATAATCTCACTGACCATTATAGATGTTTATTTCATGGTATAATCTCACTAAACATTATAATTATACATGTACATGCATATATCTGCTAGATAATTTCCCTGGTATACTGATCTACTAAACCATTAGGTGTGATCTACCACTGCTAAACATAATATACATCCTTAGCCCTTAGAGAGGCAATAGACATTATGAAACAAATATGAGAACCCAAATTACAATAAGGCCTATATTTTAACCAGACTGCAGAACAACCAAATTTGAACCTGTGGATACAGTTTTTATGATGACTTTAAAAATTTATCTTTACATATTAGAGACTTAAGCCCTAATGTTATGTAAAAATCAAAATGTTTTTAATTTCATTGAGCCCAAAGTGAAAGTAGGGTTAACTATATCAACTATCAATCAGATCAAATGAAAATATACACTGTCCCTTTCAAAGATTATCTACAATAAAAAAAGAAAGAAAAAAAAAGACCCATTCAATATTATTAATGTTTCAATTTAGAAGTTAGAATCAAACTAGAATAATAGAATTTTATATCATAATATATTACATTTACTTTAATAGTGTAACAAATATGATAAGCAATAACATACCATAATTATTATGTTTTATATTGAATAATGTTAATTAAAAATTACGTATTTTAGCGTCATACTGGACAAACTCAATCTTAGTCAAAATTATCGAGACATAAAACTTTCATGTAAAGAATAAAAATACTTAAGTGCTTGAAAAGTAATGTCATTTAATACAACATTTTGGGCACAGACCCTAATACTTTCAAGTGTTTAAAATCATTACATGTAACTTTCATTACTTTTTAACATTGTATATTAATTTAATTGTGGTATAAGATATTTATTATATACATCATATGGCAAGTCAATAAAAGATAATGTTAACATATTACATATTGTAAATAAACCATATTATCTGATTTATTATCTTATCTGCATTTACACATATCAACAACTTGTAACAAATATATATCAATAAGATATAGACATAGTATAAAGTTATGTAAGTACATGTAGGTGTAACATGTATACATATAGCATCATTTTATAATATAGTACATTAACTAAGAAAATACGAGATTTATGGGTTGGTTTATATCACAGATATTTGGAAAATACACGTACGCTACAATTAATGACATCTAAAAGAGTGGTTTATTTACTTTATATTTTATTCAATGATCACAAATGATTTTGCGTAGTACTGCAGTGAAAAAATTGAAATATTATATATTTTCAACACATGTAAATGCAAATATTTATAAAACATATCAAGCCTCTTTCATTTTAGTGTTGAATTGGGTTCATCCCATCTGCTATTTCAATTAGTGGTCAGACATGATCAAATCAAATTTTTGTTTCAAAATATTAAGCGAAAGTTGTTTATTACTAATTTTAGTTTGGTTTTTGACTTAAACTGTTGACCCTATAACATAAACAGTTCTATCTCAACATTAAAATTATCTGCCGAAAGAAAATTTAATTGAAGTGAGTTTACTCTTTCACTGATCAAATTTCCGGATTAGATCTACAAAATTCTACAGTTTATTTTGATCCAAAGAGTTTTTTCTCCTTTAAACAGATTTTCCTGAAATTTGGCATATGTAATCAGTGCTATGTGTTGTATACAATGAAAGAGTTTTAGCATTCTAATTTTAAAATTACTATATGTCGGCGAAGTTTGAAAATTTGATTCCATACAGATTTTCGATCATTTGAATTTCAAGGGGCACAAAATATTCCACAAAAAAGGTGCCACAAAAAGTGGACGTTGCCCGTTACCATGGCAACAGGCAATAATTGGGTGACAAAATTTTTGCATTCCTGATCAAGTACCCAGAGGGGTTAATAATAGCACAAACTTGCACAAATCCAGACATAAATATAGAATTTGACTTTTCGATGAGTAGGTCCTCTGAAGACAGAACTGCATTTTTAAAAAAATAAACCATACATGTACACACCCATAAAGATTAAGAAGTAGAGTATATATAATACATATGTTAATTTTTAAAATTCAGGGTATAATGCAATTTTTAAATCAGTATATCTTAACCAGTACCTGCTACAGAAATATAACTAGAACCTCACCATAGCACTCAAAACATTCAACATGCTCTAGGTACACATTATTGAATCTACTCTGTAACCTGCCTTCACTCTATCTTTTTTCTATACTGTCACATATTTATTTTAAATTACATCTACAACAGGTCTGTCAATCAAGCATTTAGAATGTGGGGATGCTGTAACTGGATATACTTTAATACAGATTCCAGGGTCATAAAACTTTTCCTTTACTTGAAGTGGCAATGAGTCTAATGAAGCAAGAATAATTTGTCATCATCAGCAAGAGTTTTATACTAAAACTTGAATATGCATATTAATTTTGAAATTCTAACAGTTGAAGCTCTGGCAATATTCTTGATTAATACACATTGTTTATTTCTTGAAAACTTCACTTACTCTAAAGAAACATCATTTTCGGTGCTAAATAATCTTAGAATTATAGTTTTCAAAAGTTATATTTGAGATTTGTGGAGACTCTATAAGTTTGTAGATGGCAATAATATAGTATGTTTTAACTATTGCAAAAGTGGAACATGTTTGATTTTGCAAATAATTATTAACAATACTGCTACTTTTTAAGAATTACACATATTTCTAACTCACCCTATGATTCTACACTCGCTTTTGACTCTAATGACGTAACATTTGAAAGGAAAATTTTGCCATATGTATGTTTAACCTTTAACCTTGAGCAACATATGTCTGAAAATTTTTAGAAAGTTTTATGACCCTAGGCTCACAATCTGACATCCCTGATATATTTTTATTTTATGTAGAATCAACAAGTTTTAACAATTGTTCAGTGATCTCCATCAATAAATGAGATCATTATATAAAAGAGAGAAATATTATGTGTAAATGTATTAATCATCATCTGAACCTCTGCCACCTGTTACCATCACAAGATGACTTCCTGTAATCAAAATCAAACATATGAGAAAAGTCAATTGTATCCCTTAAGATAAAATTACTTCTTTAAGTCTATTAAAAAATACGATACGATAAGTGCCTAATCATAAGGGCTAGAAATTTGTCATATTTTGCGAGAATCTAAGAGAATTTTCATATATGCAATCTGCGCAAATCCTCCGAATCTTAACTAATAATACTGCCTAAAAAACAAAATTGTGTTTATTGTTTATTGCCAGTATCAAAAAATGCCGTAGCCAGAATAAGCTGATATGACACCATGGCATTTTTTCATAACACAATTTGTAGCCTTTTGTCCATCACGTAATGCGGTGGACACACTAGCCAAATGATTCAGCCGAATTAATCGGCGTCGAAATTCGCCTACTGGGTCCACTGTCATTTGACCAAATTTCTATACAGCCGAATGATTCGCTCGAATCAAGCATGTTTGATATATTCGGCCGAATTATATTCACCTAGTGTTTCGGCTTCGCCGAAACATTCACACGAATGTAGAATTCATAAGCAAATCACCACTCATCATACACTTATATCGAGAGATTCGGCCGAACGATTCGGCTAATGTGTCCACCGCTTAACAGTCACGTAACTTGTAAAAGTTTTTATTCATTTGTCGATGATAGACAAATGGCACAATGATCACTGACAACCATAACTGAAATTGCTATAAAATAGAATTCTGTAAGACTATGACATAGCCTTCAATAATAATTTTAAAATTAAGCCTCAGTCAGCATGTGTATAAAATAAAAATTCATAACGGTAAAAGCTATTTAGAACTGGTTTATTGACCTAATTCCACCGATATGTCACGTGTCATTGGAATTTGGCATTGGAGATTCTGTCGGGGAAATATCCACTGTTTCCGTGTATTCAGTGTTCTATCAGGGGATTATATTCAATGAAGATTTAAATCTACCTAATAACTGTTCAGTGAATCCATCAATGTACAATCCCGTTATCATTTTAATATATACCGGTACCTGGAATTCACACGGACAGGGTGTGGACGACGCCTGATTCGAAAACCATCCTGAGATCGTCTTCATTCGCCAATGTGCTAATTACGCGGATTATGAACCACATATGGCCGATTCTCACTAAGGTATGACTGTTGTTGTAGCCGACAAGCAAGTTGATTGACTTCTTAATTAACAAGTAATAATTAACCCGTTTTAATTGAGCCGAAAATAGATTGATACCATATTGGCCGATTCATTGTTTTACCAATTGGCTAGATTAAACATCAATCGGCTACATTCTATAGTCGGACTCGACAATTCTCTGTGATTGTTTGTTTTTTAGAAAAATTTTAGGCAAACCTACGTGTAAGCTCTTGTGAGAATCCTTGCGCAAATTAGATTCAGAGATTCGTGTAAATTTCTAGCCCTGAGGCTGAGTATAACTCCAGTGGGCAGCCCCCCCCCGCCGTAATAAGAGGTGTGTGTTATTTAGGGGAATAGAAATTTGTAATTTTTTCCACCACTTTCAATGCACTAAAGGATAGATGTGCTTTTAGAAACACAGGGATGCAAGTTATATACGGTTATGGAGACATGTTATATGTGGGTGTCTACAGTATTTAATAGTTAGGAAATATTCTGTACAAAACAGCTTATCAAATTTACACAAATATCAATTTCAGTAACATCCAGAGAGACAGAGAGAAATGAAGTTCAACCTCAAGTCCACTCGACCCAAAGTAGGTCATTTCGGGAGTAACATAAATATGGTTCAAATTTTTATTTCAATAATTCACTTGCGCGTAGGGGTCTTTAGCAGTGGGAGGAAACCGGAGGACTTGGAGAAGACCTACGAGGTTGGACAGACGACCCTATTCCTTGTCACGTACAACCGGGGAATCAAAACCATGCCAGTTGGATCAATAACAGACCTTACGATACAGCGTGCACATGCTAACCATTCGGCCATCAATCCCCCCGAATAACATCCAATACCCAACATAATATTGTTACAATCTAAAATTCCACAGTTTTTCTTTTTTAAAAATAAAACCCCTTACGGGAACACTATTACCTTCCACGAACAGAGATTAACAAATATTACCTGTTCCCAAGTCCAACTGATCATCATGATAATTTCTGTCTGTTCCAAACTCAGGGTTCAAATCCAGTGGAGGATCATCATCATCATCATCTCCCAACAGATGATTATCTTCATCATGACGATTACGTAGCATTGTATAACGTCTTACATCACGGAACTTCCTATTAATTAAAATAATATATATTAGCAGGATACCCGGCTTCGCTCGGGGGTCATAACTCCGAAACCGGAAGTGGTAGACTAACGCCACCTGGCCTATGTTACTCCCCTGTCCAAGCTACCCCTATACCCCAAATTTCAGACTCGGGGCAGACCTAGTGTAGCCGCCAACCCCGAACAGACCGGATTCGCTCGGCGGTCATAACTCCGAAACCGGAAGTGGTTGACTAACGCCACCTGGCCTATGTTACTCCCCGGTCCGAGCTACCCCTATACCCCAAATTTCAGACTCGGGGCAGACCTAGTGTAGCCGCCAACCCCGAACAGACAGACAGACAAACGACAGTCACAAATATATATATAGATTACGTTTTTGTAGCATTTAAAATTAACCAGATTTACTGCTCTTGCTGTAAGAACATAAATAGTAAAACAGTCAGATCTTGCAGCAAGAACAAAAACATTAAAACTCTCAGTTCATGCTGTATATAAGAAAAAGAGCAATTGGAATAAATCAAAAAGATTAATAACGTTATGTATAAAAGTGTTGAGTTTAAGATTCATATCAATATTAAAATAGCCTAAGATAAAACATTTATTTTTTATAACATCATATACTGATCTTGTAATTGATACAATAATTTTATTATTAATATCGGTGGTTGAGTTAGGGGGCCTGTAAAAAGTTCTGATTTTGTGTTATTTGAATTGATTTCTAGCCATATACACTCTGTACTGTTGATTTCTAGATCTAATCTTTATTTAAAATATAAATTTTTACAGATATATACTATCGTAATTAAAAGGGGGCGCTATTTCATGTAACAGATGAAAATAATAAAACAGGGAACTTTGTGAGACTGGGTAACAGATGTCAGCTAGGTGACAGTATTGCACTCGCAAAAGAAGGGTCTATCAATCGAGACTATCACGTACACACACGTAAAACTGATCAAAGATGGCTTTGTGACCATGCCGTTACAACATGTGAGTAAAATAGCAGTTGTTTGTATTAAAGGACTCCTGTTACTTACAATTACATGTAATTAATATGAAATTATAACAAGAGTTATATGAACAAATGTTTTGTCAGTAGTGCTGCGATAGACCCCATTCGACATCAAAGGCATGTTAGATGTTCAAGGCTTACTACCATTTGAAGGCGTAAAGGAATAGCTATAAAAACACACAAACTGTTGATAGCATAACAGAAACTTTTTATTATGCTTTTTCAGTTTTATGACTGTCATATGTAAATAATCTCAATTAAATTGAATATCATAATTAATGTATTGGAAGTTCAAATTGTAATAAACAGCAATATATAGTCTTCGTGGCTAATTAGATCTAAATTTTTAATCATGTTATAAAATAGCACTTCTTCTTTTTCTTTTGTTATAAATAGTGTGTATGTAACTTATTTACTTTATATGACTTTTCCCCATTATTTTATAATACCTGATATGTTCATAGCAGATCTGTTTATGATATGTTTTATATTCCTTGTATTAGGAGAGGGGTGATATAGGCTATGGCTGTTCCCTGATTGGTTTTCATCCATTTGAAATAAAATATTCCTTACAAAAAACCCCCAGTAAAACTGTCAGATCTTGCTGTATATAAGAACAAACACAGTAAAACATTTACCTCTTGTAGAATACAAAAACGAGAACAGTAACAATAACCACAGCTATTAGTACTGGTACAGCAATATAAACAGCTCGTAGATTAGGACCACTGGTTGAAGAGGTAGTAGAATCAGGTATTGGACCTATAATTTAATAACATACCACATGTATGTGTAATATTATAGAGGTTAAATAAAATAAAAGACTAACAACAATTATTTTTACTTTTCTTTTCTATCACCATAGGAATACATGTAGATGAAAGAAAATGTAAATGTCAAAAAATGTAATTCTGGAATAGAATTCAATGTTTTATCAACACTCACAGAATTCTTATTGTCAGAAAACATTGATCACAGCTGAAGTTGTAGTCTGGTAGGGTATTGTGAATTCACGTATCTATAAAACTTTGTCAGCTTGGGGTACACAAAAAATTATATATTGGACTTAAAAATGAAATGTTAGTAAGGCTTGTGATAATTATTTATTGATTAAATATTCCCTTTTGGCAACTTAAATAATCGAAATAGCTGAATTGGCCGTAGAAAAAACATTCCAGTAGCTCCAGTAATTACCACATGCTCTATAGAAAACACATTGACCTGGATAATTTTGAGTTGTAATATAATAACTTCGAAATGAAGATAAATATATAATTATCCATGGCATATATCTCACAGGTTTTAGACCATCTCTTACGGCATTACAGACCGCAGAATTGTGACGTAAATCCTTTCGGTTTTCATGGCCAGGTAGCATGCGAACCCTACCACTCACCTGTAATCTGATTGCAGATTCGTAATCTACACAAAGACTTCTTTAAGACTGCCAAATTTGAGCTGTATACCTTCACTAGAATGGTAAAAATAAGACATATGAAACTCAAGTAAATTATTGATACATACTTTGTTTCGAAAATTTTTCGGTAACTCAGATGTCTTATTTTTACCATTCTAGTGAAGGGATATATACAGCTCAAATTTGGCAGTCTTAAAGAAGTCTTTGTAGGGTTTGCATGCTACCTGGCCATGAAAACCGAAAAACATTTGGTGTAATTGTATATTTTCTGGATTTTGTAGTGCTCCAGGAGCTACAAAGTAATAGATATAGATATAAAACTCAAATGCCCGAATCTCAGTCAATTTTCAAGCTACAGACCACAATTTTTACAGTTTCTAGCTTTTACATGTACAATAACAAATATTTTTTCCAGATTTTTTCGAGCAGGTCTATTTCTCAAATTTCTAAAAAAATGACCCACTTGACATGGTACCATTCATTTTCAATGAGAAAAGAATTAATAAAATTTCAATTACCATGTAATCTGGTGGCTTTAGTTATTATATCTGAAATACCATATAATACAACCGACAATGTATGATTATTGGCTCTAGACACCAGATCATCTGCCAACTGAAAACACATATATTTACATAGTAGGTGGTTAAATCTGTTTATTGTGATTTTATGTTGCATTTAATGATTTAATCCTAGATATTGTTTGGAATAAAAGGAGTTAATGCGGTTATACAACCATTCGACACATCTACGTCCTTTCTGAACTTATGGGATCAATATTTATTTCACCATTACACAGCAGTTGGAAAATCCCACATGGTAACATGAGTGACAATCACTTTGTCCAGTATAATCAGTAGAGCGAAACCCACATCATATGGGTGAAAGACCTGTACTTCATCTGGCCAAATACCCCAAAAAGTAAGGTAGTAGTAAGTGTGATAGATTTGGAGAGAAGTATGATACCTGATCTATAGTAGGATCAGTGTCACCACCAGGGAAGAACAGTACATCAACAGTGAATGGTTCTTGGTTAGCTATATGTAAAACGAATCTGTCCTTCTGAATTCCTAAATTCTGTAAAAAAACATTACAAATATTGCGTGAAAAGTCTTTCTCCAAAACATGATAAATGACAATTGAATCAATTTTTAAAAAAATTCAATTGTTATGTGGGATGATAATCATGTTGATGTTATAAACCAGAAACAAAAATTTAATTATTTAAAGCTTGTCCCATCACTAATAAAAATAAAACATTAGATTAACCAATTCAATAATATCTTTAAATATAATTCAAACTCTTTGTATACTTCAAGTACTTACATCAATAATTTCTCTGCGTAACAACTCAAAGAAGTCAACTCGATACTGTATATTCTGCTTCAAATACTTAATACTGTCTGAGAAAAACAGCTTCACTGTTGTTGTATTGGCTGAATCTAAAACACAAAACGAACATATAAACATTATTGTAACTGTAACTTACATTTATAAATTTATACATGCAGATTAGTGCAAGATTCACATTACAAAATAAAATCTGCATGGTCTAGGGACTAGCAGATTCATATTTTTCTCATTTAAGTATCCATATACTAGCTAAAAATGCATAAATAAATTAACACAAAATGGTGATGAAAAGTATTATTCTTTTTAAAATACTAAAATTGACAGATGTCAAATTCAGTTTTGAATGTGCTCAATTTCTTTGCTATTGAGTCATAACAGGCAGATTTGACAGACATGAGAACCCTGGAAGTTGATATATAACTTAAACTTTAAGCTTGATATAATAACTAAAAACTTACCAAAGACATGTATAGTAAGTGGTTTGTAGAGAGAACTAACAGAGTTAATAGCTTCCACACCAAAGTTATAAATTCCTGGTTTTGTATATGTATGATTCACCATTTTATCCCATGTCAGTAAAGGACTGGTGGAATTCTGAAAACATTTTTCATTTTATATTAGATTAAAGGGGCATTATAGTCCAGGCATTTTAACTCAATTTCGCACCATTTCGGGCAGTTGCTGCAATAGAAATGCCGATCACGTTTTATGGTCGATCTAGACGTATGTTATCACCAAAAAAAAGTCCCAGTCCGAAATCCGTGCCCAAATGGGTCAAATTTGCAAAAATCCAAAATGGCCGCCGGTTTTGACTGGAAAATGCCAGTTTTTATCCACTGACCATAATATGATTGAGTTTGGTATCAAAATATATCCTTTCGAGGTAGCTGGACCCATTCCCATACACATTTTGGTGATTAGTTATACCGCGGAGTCAATATTGGGAAATAATTCCAGATGGCGGCCAGTTTTGGTGGGAAAATTCGAATTTTACAAAATTACCACATTTGGTGTCAAAATATATGTTTTGTAGGCAGCTGATCTCATTTTCGACACATTTTTGCCATCTTGGTAATTAACTGGTTCCCCTGGGTCAAAATAATGGGAAATCCCATTGGAGATTTGGGGATTACGAGTGGTCGAGTTCGCCTCAGATCTAATACGATGGCATTCATCAAGCATCAACTAAATTTCATTTAGACGCTCTGGTCGACCACTGCTCACTACGGAAGCAGCGTAGCAGGCATGACGAAAGGGGTCACTCTCAGCCCTCTGTGGTAGCAGCGTCGTGGGCATGTCCGATTTCGATCACCAACCTCGAAAATTGAGCCAAGACGGCCAAACCTATTGAAGCATGTGGCGAATTTATTTCAGAAACTGATTGAAATGTTGAGACACAGATGGATACAATATCGCTTGTTTGTCAGATATGCAGTGAACTACCCATCGTCATTCCCAAAATGACAGAAAGATAACGGGTATTGGGGGCCGACAATAATGAGCCGATTAAGATTCCTGGCTTACGTTCAATAATGAGCGGAGATACCAATTTCAATGGCAGAAAATTTAGAACAGAATAAAATTTGGTGTATAGTCATGACTAAGTTCGACAATAATCCAAGGGCGTGCTAGGGCCTCCGAGGGTAGGCAGGCCAAAGTTAGGGCACTTTAGGAGGGGTGGGGTAGGATCGGGGAAAATTTGAGTTCTGTGGCACATGGTAGAAGCGATTTGACGTATATACCATGGCATACCATACATTGACACTTGGTTAAGGGATTATGATTAAGTCACAAAGATCCGAACATGAACATAGTTAGCTGCAGTCAAGAACTAAACGACCTGCGAGTAAAGAAAAACAAGCATCAAAAGGGACTGGTATTCCTTATAAAGGGTACCTGCCAAGTTTCATTCGATTCTGTTCCCTAATGAGGGTAGGGGTAGGGAGGTAGAAATGAAAGTAGACTGACAACCCCAAGAACGAGACGACGATCAAAATACACTTTAAGCCAGGCCAAGGAAGTTACTGGTGACAGATTAAATGTCATTTGTTGTGACGGTTTGCATATTGGCCCTGAGTATGCTAACCGGCAATAATGGTTCCCGTCGCCCGTGTTGCAATTTTCCTAAATTCATTTAGATAAATAAATAAAACTAAGACAAATTAGTTGATTCTGAATATTATGGAAATATTAATCCGTCTGTAAAATCTATTCTGAAAGTCATCTGTGGAAATCATGGTCTGATGGAGCTTGTATGGGGCCCTTACATCATCAATGAAAAACGGACATTGTAGTATCTCTGGAGTTAGTTGGAACAAGGAAAGGGCAGCAGAAAAAGAGGGCACAATATTCGATGGCACATTTTCGGAAGAGAAGGCACATAGCCACCCCTGATCCCTCCCATATACCTTGTTAGGAATCTCATCAGATTCGAGCGTTATCAACCATTTTGAGTTTCTTTTGTTTTTACATTTATGAGGACAGGGTAGGCGGTTGACTACCTGGCCAGCATGCCTCTGCAATTAGATTTTTTGCTTAGGTTACACAGAGTGAAGAACAATTTCTCTGCTAGATGTTTTATAAATAAGTTAGATGTGCAAGTAATTAATGAGTGTCATCTATTTAGGGACACCAGCGGCGAGCCTCAATGCTGATTTATTAAATACAACTAGATTAATGTCAAGTCGTCATTTGCCCTGTCTTGGCTTGTTTAAAAAATAGGCATTGCGAGTTCTACTGTTTACTGTTGTAACAGTGTTCACCGATTATATATGTTGTAATGGACTGTCTGCTAGTCTTTCCTACAGACCATGTGAAAGACAACGGTCCGCAAAAATGAATTTTGGCACCGCGGACCCTTTAGACCTTGATACAGACTCCTCCACTTCATTAACCTTAAAACATTGACCAATAACTATGGGTTGTTCATCATTAAATGGTTCACTGCATATCTGACAAACAGGTGATACTGTATCCATCTGTGTCTGAACATCTGAATCATTTTGTGCCACGTGCTTCAAAAGGCACGACCAGCTTCCGCAGTGACCTGAGAGTGACACCAGTCGACATACCCCTATGCCGCTACCGCAGTTGAACTGGAAGACACTCCAAATGAAATTTAGTTGATACTGGATGAAAGTCATTGTATTAGGTCTAAGGTAGAAGTATCAATAATCTCCAATCCCTAATCGGAAATCTAAATCCCAAATTAGAATTTCTCCTATATTGACACTGGGAATCACTTAATCACTAAAATATGTACAAAAATAGATTCAGCTACCTCGAAAACATATATTTTGACACCAAACTTGATCCTTATGTAAACTTCGAATTTTCCCTCCAAAACTGACAATCATCTTGAATAACCCCTAATATTGACCCAGCGGTAACACTTATCACAAAAATGGGTATGGAAATGGATTCATTTACCCCGAAAACATATATTTTGATACCAAACTCGATGATATTGTGATAATTGGGTGGAAATTGGAATTTACATGCCAAAAGTGGTGGCCATTTTGGATTTTGGCCAATTTGACCCATTTGGGCACAGATTTCGGACTGGGACTTTTTTTTGGTCATAATATACGTCTAAACCGACCATAAACCGTGATCGGCATTTCTATTGCAGCAACTGAACGCACTTTTGCTATCTTGCCTGGACTATTAGGTAAGATTAGATAAAGAGCTGACAGTTCTTGCTATGATAGTTAAAAAATAGATAATGACAACAGAAATTGCTGAGAATTTCAGCCAAATTGCTTCACTCTGAACCAAGATATTAACGATTAAATTTGCAGCTAGCCTCGATTATCATTACGGTGGTTCTATAATTAACAAAGTCTTCATTATCCATTTTTAAGTTAAATTATGTATCACAAAATGTATTCAAATCCACTAAAGATTGCAGGCTAACAATGGCATCGAGAGTTGATTATGACCTGAATCAGTTAATTAAACAATTTAGATAACATTTCAGACCTAAAGAAAGACCTGCAATAGGCAGATTTAGCTCTTGCATAATGCATGTTTGATTATCAATAGTAAATAATACAATGAAATGAAATTGGGTTTAACATCCTAATTTTCTGGTCTGCTTAAACTTGGCTAATAAGTAGGTTCTTTGTGTAAACTTATTTCACAGATATATGTTCAATTGCTAAATGTCATTAAAAAATTGCATCTCACCAATATACTTCAAACATTTTTTCTTGTTAAATCAATAGGCACTTGAAGCTAATTTTTATGAAAATAGCAGTCTTTTGTTAATGATAATCAACTCAATAACACAATTATACATTTGATGTATTAAAGTTGCTGGTTGTCGTTTGAGAGAGTTTTAATCCCTTGATAATTATACAATATAATGACAGTTTAAAATTTGTCAATATTCGATATCCTTTGCAAACGAAATAAACAGGAAATGGAAAAAGCAAGCCAAGGTCACCTAAAATCTTCGTAACTTTGATGGGCCTCTTCTAAATTCGATTGAATCCAATCCAGGGGATTATCTAGATGGATATTTTGATTTTTTCTTTATTAAATGTTAAACAATCAATATCAGTACATTTTAGCAGCGATTAATAAGCCATGAATAATTAACTACTTTCCACAAAAAAGGCTAATAAGAATAAAAAGACTTTAACTAGTGATTAAGTCGACTGAGTTCGATTTTCGTGGAAATCAGATTGAAACTGCCCAACAATATGGCTACTGAAATGAAATGAAATGAAATGGGGTTTAACGTCCTACTGTTCTGCTCCTAACCTGGGCTAATGAAGACGGGCATATGCCATACAGTGTGCTATGAGGGAAATTTTGCACGGGCAGCGGCACTACGGCCTACTCTTATATCGAATTCCAACTGCCAGGGGATCTTTTACGTGCACACCAATGTGTACATGGGACCTCGGTTTTTCATACCATCCGAATGACTAGACAGCTGTCGTTGTCAGGCCCTCCGTCCTGCATCACTGACAAGGGGAAACCACGCCGGAAAATCGGGATGAACTTTCTCGGCCAATGCAGGGATCGAACACCCGACCTCCAGGCTAGCGACCTCCAGGCTAGCGAGCCAGCGTCTTACCCACTTAGCCACGTGATCCCGCAATATGGCTACTTCTCGTATGCAAATACATGTAGTGTAAAAGTATGTAATACAGACAGACAGGGGCGACGGCAATATACATCTACATGAAAATGTGGGCGTATAAAAAGTAAGCACCATAGATCATTGGAATTGCAGTTCATCACATATTTGTAATTGTTGGACAGAATTGAACCATTTTTGGACTATCAGAGATTCAAATTTTACAATATTGTAGTTAGCAAGGTATTCATATATAATTCAATTCAGGCCCAGAGACTTTAAGATAATTTATATCACTTACCTCATCTCCAAAAGTCCAGATGAAATGAGTATGACCAACTTGATTAGCCATATTAAAACTAGATACCATTGCATCAAATACAGTTAATTTATCTGTCTGTGTTGCCCACGGTATATCCATATAAAGATTTTTTATTTCATCTATAACATACACATGTACAAGATATACTATATAATCTATACTGCTATTGTTTATATATCAAACACATTGAAAGAATTCTCATCACAGGCTTTGTGAAGGGAGATAACCAGGATTTGACAGGATGTTGCTCAGTCAATGAGAAATGGGATTTAATGCCCAGTCAAAACAATCTAGGTCGTTTCTAGACTTTCATATAGTACCCTTTTATTTCAATAATTTAATTGCGTGAAAGGGTCTTTAACAGTGGCAGAGGGAACTAGAGGACCCAGAGAGAACCAACTCATTGTTAAGTATAAGCCAATGGTCAAATCCATGACTCAATGGAAAGACCATATCATCTAAAGCCTAGGTCACAACCTGCCATACTTGTTTTGACTCGGACGGGTCGTAGGGTTTGGTATCTCACAGACCAGCGGCAAGAAACCAGGCATAAATGTTGTATGTGCAAGACCATAAGTCTTTATGGGCAGTCTGTGATGCGTAAGTCTAAAATTTCCCCCATAAGCTGCCTGTAGTAGCATATACGACGTGTTCAGCGCTAGGCTTTAACTTACTTAAAGTGTAGCTCAGACAAAGAACTTGATCTTAACCAGCGGCTGCCAGGCAGGATACGCCCACATTTTCGAGAGATGTATAGCTAACAAGAAACTGATTTTTCCTACTATCAAGGGCCATAATTCAGGAAATTACAATTCAATATGCGCGAATATCGAAAGGAACCGAAATCTTTGGGTTATAAACTTACATTTCAAGTTTCAACAAAATCAGATAAAAATTGTGACCTCTATAGGGTCCACAACCTTGATATACCATATTCTTACGCTATTTGAGAACGAACGGCGGCCATTTTGTCTGTCAATTTTGGGCCGATTTTCACGAAAATTCAAACTCAGTCGTCCTTAGGGTGTAACGGTGATATAATAATACAGGTTTTTAAATCGGATAAAAATTATGACTTCTATAGGGTCCACAAGCTAAAAACGCGATTTTTCGTACAATCAGGGGTCATAATTCAGGAAGTTATGGTCCGATATGTGCGAATATCGAAAGCAACCGAGATCTTTGGTTATAAACTTACATTTCAAGTTTCAACAAAATTGGATAAAAATTGTGACCTCTATAGGGTCCACAAGCTAATAACGTGATTTTTAAATCAGATTAAAATTATGGCTTCTATAGGGTCCACAAGCTAAAAACGTGATTTTTCGTACAATCAGGGGTCATAATTCAGGAAGTTATGGACCGATATGCGCGAATATCGAAAGGAACCGAGATCTTTGGGTTATAAACTTACATTTCAAGTTTCAACAAAATCGGATAAAAATTGTGACTTCTATAGGGTCCACAAGCTAAAAACGTGATTTTTCGTACACACTGGGGCCATAATCCATGAAGTTTTGATCCGATACATGCCAATATCGAAAGCAGCCGACATCTTTTGGAGATAAACCTATATTTCAAGTATCGTCAAAATCGGATAAGAATTGTGACCTGTAGAGTGTCCACAAACAAATTGTGGACGGACGGGACGGACTGACGTCCGGACGGACAGGGGCGACGGCATAATACGTCCACATGAAAATGTGGGCGTATAAAAACTCTGTGTATACCAGGGCCCTGTTTCACAAAAACTTAAATCTCCTTAAAATCGTCCTAAACTAAAATTCCATCACAACTTAAAATAGATATGCCATATAGAATCAATTTATGGTTTTGGGGTTATGATGATTTATAAAGGAGCCAGGGATATTTTATATTGGGAAAAAATCATTTTAATTTAGTAAGATAGATAGGCATTATCCAATAAGGAGTGTGGCACTTTGGCATTTTCAAAGTATTATTGAAAGGGTCCATGGGACTGACATTTCAAATCCAGGCATCAGAACATTGGTTATTTCATGTATTAGTTTAAAAGTTGTTTAGATTAGATTAATCCTTTGAGTCAGAAATATCACATGTTTGTGACAATTCTCAATAGTTTCTGTTATCCAAAATACCATAAAACTACGAAATTCAAGCGATTTAGTTTATCGATACGCATTATTTCCATTGACGCCTGCGAGTAAATCAAATGCCAAGGTCACGAAAGCGACATGCAAGTTCAAGGCCAACCAACTCATACATTTCAAAATGAATAATACGCAATAAACTTATTTATTTCATCTCTCTACGACTGTCTGACCATGTGCAGACATTGTTACAACGTATGAAACTCTCCTCATTGGTATGGTAATGGTTAGTTCAACCTGGCAACAGTTTTCAGTTCCGAAGTGTTTATGCTTACACCCTAAGTGCCGTCGCCGGAATTGTGCACTGCGCGAGCGCAAGCAATTTTAACTAAAATCTATTAAAATTGCATTTTAAAAATGCATTATGCAAGAGCAAAATCTGCTAATTACAAGTCTTTCTTTAAGCCTGAAATGTTATCTAAATTATCAATTAAACATTAATTAACTTATCCAGACAATAATAAACTCTCGATGTCAAGGCTAGCCTTCGATGTTGGCTGGATTAGATTCCTATATGCCGCTTAACGGCCATTGATAATTAAATCAAAACAGTGGATAATCGAGACTGCTGTTTATATCAATGATTTTAGTAATGATGACCAAGACTATGCGAAAATTTCACCCGCTTCGTTAACTATTATAGCGAAAACTGCCATCTCTTTATCTTATCTCCCATAATGTATCTTTAAGTTACAATCGATTTTCGTGAAACACGTAAAATTTCATTTTGATTTTAGTTAAAATCTATTTTAGTGATTTTAGTTTAAGTTTTTGTGAAACAGGGCCCAGGTTTCAGTGACAGGAGCGCTAGCTCTGCCTTTAATTCATGAATAACTGAATTTCCTACAGCTGTCTCCTTATCTAGATAAACAATCCTTGGACTAGAAAAAGGATCTGATCAAGTTAAAAAATATAAAATAAGAAAATTGTCCATCAGATTCTAAATGGTGTCACCGAGTTGATTCTTTATCCTTACTTTCTGCTATTGATGATGATTGAATGTATTGGATTAACAACTGAATGTACATAAGCTTTCACCTACCTTCAACTCGAATGATTAAATAAGCACTAGTAGACCCATTCTTGTTTATAGCTGTAACAGTTATATTATAGGAGCCATGTTTCGTATAGGTGTGTGTAATTTGAGTATGGTTTATCAGGCCAGTTTTTGTTATTTTATTACTACTATCATTGAAATTCCATGTATATACAGTTGACAGCTCTGAACCCTGTTAATAAATATTTAAGTTATATATTTATAAGCTTAGTTACCCAGTGTAACTAATCCCCAGGGGGAATGGCTGAATGGTTAGCACGTGTGTGCTGTATCATAAGGCTGTCATTGAGTCAACTGGCGTGGTTTCAAATCCCCAGTTGTACATGACAAGGAGTAGGTTCGCCTGTCCAACCTCGTGGGTTTTCTCTGGGTCCTCTGGTTTCCTCCAACTGCTAAAGACCCCTACGCGCAAGCGAATTACTGAAATAAAATTGAACGTTTTAGTCCCGAAATGACCTAGTTTGTGTCGAGTGGCCGTTAAACCCCATTTCTCTCTCTCTCCCCTAAAATGCTGAAGATCAACAAGGTCCATCATCTTCGATCCCATCAATATCTGTTACAAACTGTAGCCTCTATTACACTAACAAGGTCTTGAAAAAGGGTGCGTAACTCTTGTCAACACTGACATCACTGTTATGAACAACACTGATTAGACTATGGTATATCATAATTAGTGTATTGTTTTTATGGGTGTTATATTTGACAATACCACTGATTTACGGTTAACAGGATTATGTTACAGGATAATGTGTTTACATGTAGATATTAATGTGAAAGGTTGTATGTCATATTTAAAGCATTAATATTTTAACATTTATTTCTTAAATACAGATATTCATTCAAAAAATGCTAAAAAACCCAAACAAGAATGGATGTTTTGCAAGGACAACCCAATGAACTTTTGATTTATAAAACGCTAATTAAACAAATTTTCAATACCATTGATGTAATTAAGTCGAACCTTTGAAGGACTCAGACCAAATAATGCCAGTATTGTTAGTATGGAAATTTCATCATGGTCCGTACATTTACAATATCTCATTCTCTGTTTTAATTGTCATATAAAAGGCAATAAGTAGTTATTATTGGCAATTGGAAACAAAAAGGTTACTACATTTATCATTTTTATCACGTTTTTTAACTAATATGATAATAAAAAACTTACACCACTTTGTGTGAGTTCGTAGTTAGTTTGTTGATTTGTAGCGACAACATTTTTCTCAGTTTGTAGACGAAGACCATGCGGTGCTACAACAGGACATGGTATGTTTTGTATAGGTTGATAGATATCACTATCAGATATACCACCATGACATTTATCAGATGCAACCTTTCTATACCTATAAATTTGATTAAAAACTATGTTCATGAAAGTAATAACTATATAATACAGTACTAGATATTTATGTCATTATTATTTCTTAACGGAAATTGTTAAAATAAAGGAGTGAGGATTAATGAGCTGGGTCATTCCATGTCAAGTGGACCAAATTTCGGAAAGTTGGGAACATGACCCCCTCCAAAACCAGCGGTGCCAGGCAGGATACGCCCACATTTTCGAGAGATGGATAGAGAACAAGCTAAAAAGAAAGTGATTTTGACTACAATCAAGGGCCATAATTCAGGAAATTACAATTCGATATGCACAAATATTGAAAGGAACCGAGATCTTTGTGTTATAAACTTACATTTCAAGTTTCAACAAAATCGGATTAAAATTGTGACCTCTATAGGGTCCACAGCCTTGATATACCATATTCGAACTCAGCCGTCCTTAGGGTGTAACAGTGATATAATAATACGTTTTTTTAAATCGGATAAAAATTATGACCTCTATAGGGTCCACAAGCTAAAAACGCGATTTTTCGTACAATCAGGGGCCATAATTCAGGAAGTTACGGTCCGATATGCGCAAATATCGAAAGGAACCAAGATCTTTGGGTTATAAACTTACATTTCAAGCTTCAACAAAATCGGATAAAAATTGTGACCTCTATAGGGTCCACAACCTTGATATACCATATTTTTATGCTATTTGAGAACGAACGGTGGACATTTTGTCTGTCAATTTTGGGCCGATTTTCACGAAATTCGAACTCAGCCGTCCTTAGGGTGTAACGGTGATATAATAATACGTTTTTTTTAAATCGGATAAAAATTATGACCTCTATAGGGTCCACAAGCTAGAAACGCGATTTTTCGTACAATCAGGGGCCATAATTCAGGAAGTTTCGGTCCGATATGCGTGAATATCGAAAGGAACCGAGATCTTTGGGTAAGAAACTTACATTTCAAGTTTCATCAAAACAGGATTAAAATTTTGACCTCTATAGGGTCCACAACCTTGATATACCATATTTTTACGCTATTTGAGAACAAAGGGCGGCCATTTTGTCTGTCAGTTTTAGGCCGATTCTCGCGAAATTCGAACTATAGGGTCCACAAGCTAAAAATGCGATTTTTCGTACAATCAGGGGCCATAATTCAGGAAGTTACGTTCAGATATGCACGAGTATTGAAAGGGACCGAGATCTTTGGGTTATAATCATACATTTCAAGTTTAAAATAAATCGGATAAAAATTGTGACTTCTACAGTGTTCAGAAGCTAAAAACGTGATTTTTCGTAAAATCAGGGGCCATAATCCATGAAGTTACAGTCCGATACATGCCAAACCTATATTTCAAGTTTCATTGAAATCGGATAAAAATTGTGACCTGTAGACTGTTCACAAACAATTGTGGATGGACAGGGGCGATGAGAATATACGTCCACATGAAAATGTGGGCGTATAAAAATATATGTTACAGTGCATGGACTTAAGCTAATAAATCCAAAATTATACCTCTCTAAGCCGAAAATTCGTTGAGATATGGCCATTTGAAGTTAAGGTACTGAAACGGATCATAAATTTAGTAATTTTTTCCAGGTTTTCCGGTGCTTTAATCTCACATTTCTAATAGGAGTAGAAATCTCTAATTTTGTAATCTAAGACAACTTTTGTTGTAGATTATGGATTTAGCATCACACGCAATGTGCGATTCACACAGTTCGTGCCACCAGGTGGCAAAATGTGGAACAACTTACACTGTGGAACTGGTATCGTTTATAATGGGGGTTATAGCTAGTTATATAGTTTAATTTCCAAACATCGTTTCATAATTGATAATTATCGTTTGAAAATTACAAAAAAAGTTTAATTAGTACTATGGCTTAATTTAATGGTACAGCGTTTAATTTCTCCGAGAGGGGTTTAGAAATGGCCAACTGTTCACTTATCTAGTGTGTTTATTTATTAGACGAGTAGTTCAATTTCCCGAGATGCGTATAGAAATAAGACCTGCTTAATTTATCTGCTGTGTTGAATTATTAGATGAATCGTTTATTTTCCTGTGAGCCGTCTATCCAATCGGTTCATTTTGATTACGATTATTTGCATATGAAGTGCGAATAAAAATGGTGAATGTTAAAAAAAAAGCACCTTACCGTGGTCCTAGTATTATTATCCATTCCTCTTGGAGAAATTAAACGCTGTACCATTAAATTAAGCCATAGTACTAATTAAACTATTTTTTTAATTTTCAAACGATTATTATCAATTATGAAACGATGTTTTGAAATTAAACTATATACTTAGTTTTTAGCGCTATAACCCCTATTATAAACGATACCAGCTAAGCTAAAAACGCGATTTTTTGTACAATCAGGGGCCATAATTCAGGAAGTTACGATCCGATATGCGCGAATATCGAAAGGAACTGAGATCTTTGGGTTATAAACTTACATTTCAAGTTTCAACAAAATCGGATAAAAATTGTGACCTCTATAGTATAGGGTCCACAACCTTGATATACCATATTTTTACGCTATTTGAGAACGAACAGCGGCCATTTTGTCTGTCAGTTTTGGGCCGATTTTTACGAAATTCGAACTCAGCCATTCTTAGGGTTTAATGGTGATATAATAAGACGTTTTTTTAAATCAGATAAAAATTATGACCTCTATAGGGTCCACAAGCTAAAAACGTGATTTTTCGTACAATCAGGGGTCATAATTCAGGAAGTTATGGTCCGATATGCGCGAATGTTGAAAGGAACTGAGATCTTTGTGTTATAAACTTACATTTCAAGTTTCAACAAAATCGGATAAAAATTGTGACCTCTATAGGGTCCACAACCTTGATATACCATATTTTTACGCTATTTGAGAACGAAGGGCGGCCATTTTGTCTGTCAATTTTGGGCCAATTTTCACAAAATTCGAACTCAGTCATCCTTATGGTGTAACGGTGATATAAATATACGGTTTTTTAAATCGGATAAAAATTATGACCTCTATAGGGTCCACAAGCTAAAAACACGATTTTTCATACAATCAGGGGCCATAATTCAGGAAGTTACGGTCCGATATGCGCAAATATCGAAAGGAACCGAGATCTTTGGGTTATAAACTTACATTTCAAGTTTCAACAAAATCGGATAAAAATTGTGACCTCTATAGGGTCCACAACCTTGATATACCATATTTTTACGCTATTTGAGAACGAACGGCGGCCATTTTGTCTGTCAATGTTGGGCCGATTTTCACGAAATTCGAACTCAGTCGTCCACAAGCCAAAAACGTGATTTTTCGTACAAACAGGGGCCATAATCCATGTGAAGTTTCGATCCGATACATGCCAATATCGAAAGCAGCCGAGATCTTTTGGAGATACACCTATATTTCAAGTTTCGTTGAAATCGGATAAGAATTGTGACCTGTAGAGTGTCCACAAACAAATTGTGAACGGACGGACGGACAGACAGACAGACGGACGTCCGGACGGACAGGGGCGACGGCATAATACGTCCACATGAAAATGTGGGCGTATAAAAACTGCAAAATTATCATAGTTAATGTCAGTTTGTCTTATATGAATTTACAAAATATTTTAAGTCGATGGGATATATACTTTTCCAAATATTCAGTCTCGAAATTCAATGCACACTGAAAACGTACAAAATATACCCATTTTCACCTTCAATTTTGGCCATGTGGGACAGAGGTTAAAATTCTGAAAAAGTTTGAGAATGAAACTTCAATTACCCTACTATAACATACATTAAAGTCTATCTTGTGTATTTGATGGCTTATATTTTTAATTCGCACTTGGAATCTGTGCGGTGATGAAGTTTTAATGGCTATCATCAAAATTGTTGACTTTTCACGTCGATTTTAAAATTACGTCTAAATGACCAATACCCCTCAAATGTGTCTAAGTAGAGTAAATGTTTGCATAGATTACAAATATGCAATCATTTTGGATCTACATTGTATTGTTCTAATTTTTATTTGGCCTCCCAAATGAGAAAAAGATGGTTATTCCGCTAAGTTGTCTTAGATTACAATATTAGAGAGTCCTACTCCTATTAGAAATGTGAGTTTAAAGCATCTGAAAACCTAGAAAGGTAAAATTTCGGATTTCCTAGTTTAAGGCCATATACTATAACATATATTTTTTTGGTAGGGGGTCATGTTCCCACCATTGGTCCAGTTGGCATTGAATGATCCAGCTGCATATTACCCACACCTCCAACATTTGAATAACCAACGTTGTGTTGGTAGCATTTCCCTAATAACTAACATTAGGTCACCAGTTTATTTATATGACATAGTAACCCTAATCGGCACATACCCTGTACTGCGGTTATATTTCTTTCCCTCTGTACACTCAACAATTAAGTAATCCTCATTAAACCAACTGGCCATTTTACATTTAAAATTATTCTGATTCTGATTCTCATATCCATAATCACTGAAAGAAAAAGAAAAGGGGAGAATTAACTACAATTTCTACACATACATATTCTACAGCATGATAAACAACAATATCACAAAATTACATTAATTTCATTGTTTTTATGCAAAAAGAACAGATGTAAATAAACATACCATTCAAAATCTTCATTTGTACAATTACACAGTTTATGTGTGAGGGGCTGTTCATAGTCTGTGCCATAAGAACATTGGGCAAACTGTTTCCTTCTTTCAAATTGCAATGTTTGACCTAAAGTACAATTGTCCTGCAACCAACAAACAAAAATAAAAATCCAATATGTTCATTGAAAATCATTTGTACTAAAAGACTTTCCAAAACCATACATATAATTGAAGAAAGGAAATCTAGATCCAGTCTTCATGCAAACTTGTAAAGGCCACCATTATGGTGAAAAATAAAAGTCTCAGTCAGCCAACAAATTTAAAATTTAGTTTTTGGGGATCGTGATAAATAGTTGCAAGTGAGTTACATGTGTTTCAAATTCTCAAAATTCAAATTGGATAAGATTAGATTTGATGTCTTAATAATAGGGTGCACACAACCCCCTCCAATTTCAATTCTCTCAACCGATTCACTTGTAGATATGCCAGTTTGTTCCACTAGACAAGTAACTTCGATGAGCCAAAAATTGGCAAAATTGATTGATGTTTATGTTGGCAACCACCATCTCAAAAATAGTCACAGATTGTACATATTTAAGGGAGTTGAGCAGTCTGAAATGCACATTTTAAGTAAGAACTGTAATGTCTGTTCATATGATATGACATACAATTTTATTTACAAACTTCATGTATGTTCCAAACTTGGCCCAAAAGCATGATAATGAAGGATGCTGATGACACCAAAAGTCGAATTTTCCCAGTTACCAGTGTGTGACTGCAATCACTGCATAGATTTTTTTTTATCAAAGTTGGCATGAACAATGCTAATTACAATTCCAAAATAGCCACAGAACAATTTTTGGAAACACCAAAAAACCATGAGTTTTTTTGGAACTTCTATTAGTACATGCTTAAAAGAGATATAGATAATCCCCTCCATGGATGGAAAGTGGAGACTATAAGCTACATTTCGACACCAAAAACGTTGTAAAATATCAACTCAAAGTATTTTAAAATCTTTGTTGATTATATACCTTCAAACGAGATTTAGTGATTTTCGGGTTAATTCTTTGGATACGTCCTCAACAATTCGGATGTAAAAAGTAAATATTGCACTACTCCATTTTATACATTCAAAAATGGTAGTCCTCGACCATCAAGAAATGAAATTCAGCCATGTTCCAGTCGCGATAGATGGTAGACCTGGATAATTGCGTTTTAGAGGCAATTCCTTCTGACGTCATATATAGATAGCTGTCAATGATCCAGCGTGAAACTGTTGCTGGAGCCGGCCATGATTGTTAACTGTACAACGTCATAATTTATTCAAGAACTGATCTAGGTCAGGGAAATCTTCTCAACGAACGGTCAAACTGCTAATTGTCCTCTGCGCTATTTTACACATGGAACAAGTGTGCAAAGTTTTAATAAGATGGGTGTTGAAAAGTTAGTGCATATCTTAGACTACTCAACCCCCTAAAGACAAAATGAGAATTTAAAAATTGGCACACAAATGCTTCCGAGGGCCATTTGTAATGAAGCGACTCAATGAATGAAGATAAACATACTCCACAGGAGAATATTACTGGTGTAGACTGTAATAACCAGATACCAAAGACTGCCATTCAATTTGGACTTTCCGCGTATTACAGTAAAAACAGAAACGATTGAATGTAAATCTGTTTATATACATTCACAATACATTATATGCGTTGCAACCCATTTGTGTCCATTTCTAGGTGCCAAAGAATAGAGTTTAGCTCCTTTCATTCATGTTTAGTGATGGCAAAAGATCTTTTGGTTCGAGATATAAGACAGAGGTCTGTTTGCTTACAAATATTAGTTTCATTTACTATAAACTGTCAAACACGAATTCAGTTTTATTTCAACATTTTCTTTAATCAATGGAATTTTCCTTTTTAATGAATATATATTTTCACCTTGAGAAACCATTCAATATACAAAATTCATTTTGACACAATTCAATGGTCATGCCGTTTTAAATAAGAGAGAGAGAGAGAGAGAAATGGGGTTTAACGTCCACTCGACACAAACTAGGTCATTTTGGGACTAACATATGGTTTAATTTTATTTCAATAATTCGCTTGCGCATAGGGGTCTTTAGCAGTGGGAGGAAACCGGAGGACCCGGAGAAAACCCACGAGGTTGGACAGGCGACCCTACTCCTTGTCACGTACAACCGGGGATTCGAAACCACGCCAGTCGACTCAATGACAGACTTTATGATACAGCGCGCGCACGCTAACCATTCAGCCATCCAACCCCCCTTTTAAATAAGAAACCTTGTAAGAGTATAATGCTTTAAGTGTAATATAATAAACCGTACCTGATCATCATCTTTGGGAATCCACACTTCATAATCTAATTTATTACAAGTTCTAGACAAAACTGTAGAGAAATTTAGAGTAACTAACGTCCAACCATTAGATGCATTGGAATGACCATAAACACTGTAAAGACAAAAATATATATACTACAGTTTTTTAGTATTATACAATTGAGCACATATGAATATATAAAATAACTTGATGAAGATGGCAGAATTATTATTATTTTATTTATAAAGATGGCAGTGCAAAATTATTAAACTTCTTTAAAACTCTTTTGTCAACATTTATGATGTTACTGTTAAAGGGACAATAACACTCTTGCTGGCTTGAAAGCTCCAGAAAATAAATAATATCTCTATCTATGTACTAGATGTTTAAGTGTCCTACCTGTAAGGCTGTGCAAAAATATCGATATAATCGATAATCGGTAGAAGTTATTTAGCGATACGATAATCGATTATCGGTATATTTACCTTCTGATGGCAAGTTACGGTCACTTTCACATGACTGAACTTGCCGTAGTCTGGCATGCAGATGAATGAACGAATACACAACGTCAACACAACAAATATTTTCCCCCTCTGCTTACAAACTGGCACATTTTAAATATATATTATTGTAAAAAAACTAAACTTTAAGATTAAATACATTATTTTAATATTTTCGTTGTTTTTGTTGTTATTACTAGTTGAAACTAAAATAGGTCACGCACTTTGTGAACAATGACGATCGCACGTGATATAGTAAAATTAGAATTATCTCCCTTCTTTGCTCTTGATAGATTTGTAGAGAAATTGTCTGCTTTCACGATAAAACTAATTGTATTATTAATGATCAACTCAGCTTTTATTACTAAATCATGTCAGATACAGCCCATACAAAACACGTTTTTGACTTCCCGGGAAAATATCTATATCTCTTGTAATTTCTTGGAAGAATTCTACTTTGGTTTTCGTCAAAATTAACCAATCATAAAAATTCTACTTTGAAAGCCGGTAATTATTTTTTTCGTCAATCAATAGACGCCTTCTATTATATTTTATTCTATTATTAGTAGCACTGTGTGATCGCCAGTAACTTGCAAAGAGAAACCATGTATTGTCTTTGTATTTATCGGAGATATTGGAATAAAAAAAAGGTTCAAATGAATCAAGAACAAAACTTAGAATAATACTCAAGTTAATCCTACATTTAGCAACTAATTATTTTACATTAATTGATTTTTTTACGTACACCGGCACAGTATTAGACTAGGATAATAATACTACTGTAACTCGATCAACACAAATAACAGGTCGGTAAAGTTCGGTTTTTCCGGAAGAATGATTGATAATCGATTATTATCGATAATCGCTGACAAATTCTTGTCGATAATCGATATTGAAATTTCATATCGATTCCCAGCCTTACCTACTTGTTGTGTAAATTATCCATTACATCCTATTTTACTTGTCCAGAGGGTTCGAAAATATTTTTAAATCGAAGCTTCATTTGAAAAGGTTTACGTTAGACGTTTCAAACCATTATGTTGAATTTTTCAAAATTTTTAAATAAGGTGTGTTAAGATGAAATTAGTATCATCAATTAATTGAAATATTCTAAAATAGTACAATTTGTTGACCAGAATAAAGATTGAGACATATTATTCAGTTACAATAAGAGTGGTATTGAGCCTTTAACCTGTTACGTACCAGTGTTCGTTTTACGACCAGAAATGTATTCCTTGTATTATGTCATTAAAATATCACAACACAATCACATGATTTTACCTAACGCTAGATGTCAACTCTTGTAAGCCGGCCATCTTTGATTTTCTCGATCCTTCAACACAAATTTCTTTCTTTGGTAAGTAAAACATGCTGTTTTCACAACATTCTGATGACAATTTTGATTGCAATGCAGAGTCATGTTTTATTATAGAAGAGATCCATTTTGGATTTCAGTTACATTTAGTTCTCCCATTAAAATTTGATCCAGCCTACAGTCCTAATGGCATACAGACCACACCATATATGGAATTTGTTCGTTTTACAATCACTGGTAACAATGGTTACTTAGAAGTTTTTCTGTTTTATGTTCGTAAAACGAACCTTGGTATTATACAGTGCTGATATTATTTGTATTTGTGGTTGAAAATTTTGAAAATAAATATATATGATACCCCACCAAGAATACGTATATCAGGTGAACAATGTTATGAACAGGCTCTGATATAATTCCAATACAACAAATATTCCAATTTTCGGGTATAGCCGAAATGCCTTATCACAGAACTAGAAAGTTATTTAACCTAGAAGCTGTCCTTGACGAAATAGATAATGATGACATTGACGTCAACCATGTTGTTATAGTTCCACCTGATAATTTAGGAAACCTATCTGATGAAGATGAAAATGCTGATGTTATGCCAGCTGACGTACCCGGTGAATTGGAAGTGGAGTATGATGGCAGTGCCAGCGATTCAAGTAGTGGCTCCAATAATACAGACAATGAAACCGAGGTAACACCACCTGTTGCTAAAAGGGCAAAGAAATCCAAATCAGTTCCCGTTAGATTGAAGAATTGTGAAGACATGTTACTTGCTGATACTCGCGATAAATTGACCCGCTTGAAAAAAAAACATGCAGAGCTTTGCGACATAACCCCGTATGAACTATTTTTGTTGTTTCTAAATGATGGTATGATAAATTTGATTGTAGATGAAACAAATAGATTTGCAAAACAGAAAAACAATCATTTGTTTGAGTTAAAATCTGTAGAATTTTTGCGCTTTATTGGCATCTTGCTGTGGAGTGGCTATCACTCTCTCCCTCAACAACACTTGAACTGGGAAACAGCAGATGACACTAGAATACCCATAGTTGCTAACGCCATGTCGAGAAACCGATTTTGTAAAATAAGAAGTACATGTATATTCATTTAGCTAATACTGAAAGTATAAATGTTATTGTCCCCCGCCTTTCGAAGAAAGCAGGGGACTATTAAAATGGGTTCGTCCGTCTGTCTGTCTGTCTGTCCGTCTGTCTGTCCGTCACACTTTTTGGGACACAATAACTCTCTTCCTAATTGAGCTAGAATGTTCAAACTTGGTGTATGTGTTTATTAGGTCAATGCCTTGATGGAGTTCGAAGATGAGCATTTTCCGCTTAGGGTAAGCAGAGATAAGCAATTTGATTGGTTGATGCTTTGGGACACGATAACTCTCTTCCTAATTGGGCTAGAATGTTCAAACTTGGTGTATGTGTTGATTAGGTCAATGCCTTGATGGAGTTCGAAGATGAGCATTTTCCGCTTAGGGTAAGCAGAGATAAGCAATTTGATTGGTTGATGCTTTGGGACACGATAACTTTTAATTGAGCTAGAATGTTCAAACTTGGTGTATGTGTTTATTAGGTCAATGCCTTGATGGAGTTCGAAGATGAGCATTTTCCGCTTAGGGTAAGCAGAGATAAGCAATTTGATTGGTTGATACTTTGGGGCACGATAACTCTCTTCCTAATTGAGCTAGAATGTTCAAACTTGGTGTATGTGTTGATTAGGTCAATGCCTTGATGGAGTTCGAAGATGAGCATTTTCCGCAGAGATAAGCAATTTGATTGGTTGATGCTTTGGGACACGATAACTTTAGTTCTAATTAAGTGAGATTGATGAAACTTGGTGTATAGTTTCATTACAGTAATACCTTGACTAAGTTTGATAATGAGCATTTTCTGCTCAGGGTAAGCAATGCGATACGCAATTTGATTGGTCGAGACTTTGGAAGTAAAGATATACTGTTTGATTGTTCAATACTTTGTAAAAGATAATTTGTGATAAATTTATATGTGTCCTCTAATTATTTTCCTATTTCGGCGGGGGACATCAGCCTCACTGTTGGCTTGTTGACAAAGCTGCAAAGGTAAGGCCATTTATTGATACAATTAACCAGGGATTGGTGCAGTTTGGTGTATTCAGTAAAGATTTGAGTAGGGATGAACAAATGGTGCCATATTTTGGTAAACATAGCGAGAAAATGTTCATGCGTAACAACCTTGTCAAATTTGGGTACAAATTTTGGGTCCAAGCATCTGCTCAAGGTTTCCCTTACAAGACTGTTCTTTATTGTGGTAAGGAAACCAATAAATCAAAAACTGGTACAGTTGGTGCTTCAGTTATTTTCAATTTGTTGACCGTTGTTCAAAATCCCAAGGCACACACCATTACGTTTGACGATTTCTTTACTGATTACGATTTGCTCAAAAGTCTGGCAGACAAAAGAATTCCCAGCAGCGGGAACAGTTAGAGAAAACAGAACGAGGGGGGCAATTTTACCTAAATCTAGCAGCATGAAGAAGAAAAGTGTGGAATGTGGAACAACAGAGTGGCATGTTGTTGGAAAGATAATAAAGCGGTATACATGTACTGTATGAGTAATTATCTTGGTGTAACCCTAAGAGAGAAGAAACAGTGTTATTCTCAACAGGAAAAAAACACATTTACATCGTATGTCCACAGATGATAGCCAGTTATAACAAAACCATGGGTGGAGTTGATATGTGTGACAGATTCCTCAGTTCATACAGACCAACCATAAGAGGTAAAAGATAGGTTGCCAGGCAACGAAACATACGCCCACAGCAGCTAAATCGTCCGGGGAGTCAACAAGTGTTGTCGCATATTTTTACTTTTTTTGGTAATGAAACATTTATAATACACTAAAATCAGATTAAGAGTAACAACTCATGAAGTAATTATCAGAATACCATTATAATTTGTTTGGTTTTTATAAAGTTCTTGCTAACGTTTAGTATACAAAACTTTTAATATCATGGATTTAGCTGTTCAAGTCATAAAAATGCATTGAAAATCAATATACTCGTCCGTCTCAAGATCTTAAACTCTGTGTATCAATCTGAAGTCTATCAGATGATAACTTTAGCCTCTAGAGCGTCACAAAAATGTTCAAAGTGATCAAGGGCCATAACTCTAAAAGTAATTATTGGAAATTGTTGAAAATCAATAGGATTCTTCGTCTCATGACAGTAAACACTGTGTATAAATTTAAAGTCAATCGGATATTAAACATGCATTATGCATCTGCCTATTGCAGGTCTTTCTTTAGGCCTGAAATGTTTTCTAAAGTATTAAGTAGACATTAATTACCTGATCCAGGCCTTAATCAACTCTCGATGGCATCAGATTTCTCTGATATTAAATAGATTAGAATGGTTCAGCGATACTTTGATTTAATCAAATATGGAGGACCGAGAGTTAGCTTCGTTCAAACAGTAAAAGTTGAAATTATTGCACACGTCTGTCAAACCTTCAAAGGCTAATATCTTTGCTTGCAATAGAGTAATTTGAATGAAATTTTCAAATTATTCATTTTACATCTACTTTCAAACTATTATAGCAAGAATGGCTAGTTTTTTATCTAAATCTTACATAATGTATCTTTAACTTTTGCCTCTAGTGGCCACAAGATTTTTTGAAGAGATCAAGGGCCATAACTCTAGCAGTAATTATCGGAAATCGCTGAAAATCAATAGACTTCTTCGTCTCATGACCATAAACACTGTGTATAAATTTAAAGGCAATTGGATATTAACTTTAACCTCTAGAGCTTGTGGACGCCAGACATACTGACAGGGGAGACGACAATATACAACCACATTCCAATGTGGGGGGGTCCGCCCCCCCCCCCCCCAATTGTTTTTCTGGGGGGGTCTGAATATACTTGGCCCCCCCCCCCCAATTTACATATTAGGCCCAAACTCCTATTTATTTACAACAATTATTATTATTATTTAAGATTCTATTTGTATAAAACCTGTACATATCCCAATATGGTTTATACTGCTAAAATAAAACACAGAGATAATCATCCTGGAAACATGTGTGAAGTGAAAAGTACCTGTGTTCCATAAAATTGTGTCTAGTTAGCCTGTCAGTAATATTTTGTTAATTTTTTTCTGCCACTTGTCAGAGTGAATCGCATGTAGGTACCCAAAAACATTACCGCCTAAACCAAATATTTATCGCCCCCTCAGCCAGCAACGTAACCATAATGCTTTTGCACGTGGTTTCTTGGTAGACAGCATGGCCACATGGTGTTTGTTTATATTTTTTAGGGGTTTTAAAAAATGGGTTAGGGTTGCGGACCCCCCCCCCCCCAATATATATTTCACGGCTGCGCCTCTGAATGTGGGTGTATAAAAATTATAATAAAACAGTGATATGTCTAAGCCTGTACAGGGGGGTTGGATGGCTGAATGGTTAGCGAGCGTGGTTTCGAATCCCCGGTTGTACGTGGCAAGGAGTAGGGTCGCCTGTCCAACTTCGTGGGTTTTCTCCAGGTCCTCCGGTTTCCTCCCACTGCTAAAGACCCCTACGTGCAAGTGAATTATGTACATAAAATTAAACCATATGTTAGTCCCGAAATGACCTAGTTTGTGTCGAGTGGACGTTAAACCCCATTTCTCTCTCTCTCTCTCTAAGCCTGTACAAAAATGTTCTGCTAATGACGGATTGCCGTCCTTATTGAATGATACTATGACAGTGATTCAGATTTTATCAGTGGTGTAGATTTTGATAGTTTTGTGTTAGAGCGTGATAGAAGACGGACTAATCAACAAATTATTTGATTGTAGTCTAAATAATTACCAGCGGCTGCCAGGGAGGATACGCCCACATTTTCGAGAGATGGATAGAGAACAAGCTAAAACAAAAGTGATTTTTCCTACAGGAAATTACAATTCAATATGCTTTGGGTTATAAACTTACATTTCAAGTTTCAACAAAATCGAATAAAAATTGTGACCTCTATAGGGTCCACAACCTTGATATACCATGTTTTTACGATATTTGAGAACGAACGGCGGCCATTTTGTCTGTCAGTTTTGGGCTGATTTTCACGTAATTCGAACTCAGCTATCCTTAGGGTGTAACGGTGATATAATAATACGATTTTTTAAATCAGATAAAAATTATGACCTCTATAGGGTCCACAAGCTAAAAACGCGATTTTTCATACAATCAGGGGCCATAATTCAGGAAGTTCCGGTCCCATATGCGCGAATATCAAAAGGAACCAAGATCTTTTGTTTATAAACTTACATTTCAAGTTTCAACAAAATCGGATAAAAATTGTGACCTCTATAGGGTCCACAACCTTCATGTACCATTTTGTCTGTCAGTTTTGGGCCGTTTTCACGAAATTTGAACTCAGCCATCCATAGGGTGTAAGGGTGATATAATAATACGTTTTTTTAAATCGGATAAAAATTATGACCTCTTATAGGGTCCACAAGCTAAAAATGCGATTTTTCGTTCAATCAGGGGCCATAATTCAGGGAGTTATGTTCCGATATGCACGAATATCGAAAGGAACCGAGATCTTTGGGTTATAAGCACACATTTCAAGTTTAAACCGAATCGGATAAAAATTGTGACCTCTACAGTGTTCACAAGCTAACAAAACGTGGTTTTTCGCACAATCAGGGGCCATAATCCATGAAGTTACAGTCCGATACATGCAAATATCGAAAGGAACCGAGATCTTAGGCTGATAAACCTATATTTCAAGTTTCATTGAAATTGGATAAAAATTGTGACCTGTAGACTGTTCACAAACAATTGGGGACGGACGGACGGACAGGAGCGACGACAATATACCTCCACATGAAAATGTGGGCGTATGAAAAGGGATTCACGATGAATGACTTTTAGTTTACAACAGCCCCCCAAAATAGAAATCACCATACATGAATTTTGTATGAAATGTCTAAATTAGAGTATTTGCCATCGTAATTTGTGGCATAAAATTAATATTTATGAAAATGACGTTAAATCTAGATCATTACCAGTGTTGCTATTTCAAAATAGCGTATGAAAAGGGATTCACGATGAATGACTTTTAGTTTACAACAGCGCCCCAAAATAGAAATCACCATACATGAATTTTGTATGAAATGTCTAAATTAGAGTACCGGTATTTGCCATCGTAATTTGTGGCATAAAATTAATATTTATGAAAATGACATTAAATCAAGATCATTACCAGTGTTGCTATTTCAAAAAATTTCCTGTGCACCATGTTAATTTTCATATTTAATTCTGGTGCGGTTTTCAATTTATGACAGTTATATTCCAACAGAATTAGCTGTCGTAATACAAAAGAATGAAAGCGTGCCGACTACTGCCGACCCGTACCTGTTTCAAATTCACGCACATATTTAGTTCCCGTGCGGTATTCAATTTATGTCAATGTTATTCCTACATAATTAGTTGCTTTTGTAATACAATAAAATGAAAGCATGCTGATGACTGCCGACTGGTACCCGTTAGTTTCAAATTTTTTTGGAAGTAACTGTCACTCTATGACGCGAGCGAGTGATATCATCTGTTAACTTACTTATGAGTTAACATCCATGTGTGTGTGTAGCTTTATAACAAACAGAAGGAGAATTGGGATTCAACATCCACTCAAGAAAAACGAGTGCATAGTGGTCTTTAGCAATGGGAGGAATTCATATGGTTGAGCATTCGACCCTACTTGCCATGTACAACTACAAGCTTGGGAACAAAACCATACCACTTGACTTAATGACAGACCTTATGATCTAAAGCATTTACAGTAGACCACATAACCCACACCCCCTTTTAATGACAGATTAAGATATTGTATTAAAACTCCAGTATTTACCTCAGAGATAAAGAGTTAATCTCTGGTTCATTTAAAACACCATCAACCTGTATCTTTCTATTAGATGGTAAAAATGTCTTAGAATGCCAGGTATGTCCTTGATCATACGAAAATCTGTAAACAAAGAAAAGTAACATTACAACCAATGATTAATACTCTTTAAAAATTTCTTATACTGTTCATACATTAGTCTAAATTCATTTTCTTATATTGTTTGTACATCAGTGTACATACATTTTCTTAAATTGTTCATAACAATAATAAGGCAGGACACTACCTAAGAATTTTACTTTAATAACAGAAACTTGCCATTTAGTGTAATATTAGTATATGATGTCCCAAATCAGATTTGATAATTTGAGTGCAAAATGTTTATTTGTTGCCATGGAAATGGTGGCCATATTGGATTTTTTTTATATATTCACAGTGGCTATGTTAGGAAAGCAAAACCTTCACCAATTTTATTGAAACAAACTATTTGTGATTTGGAATAATATATATAGGCATTAAAGAGTGCAATAAGGCATAAATTTGACTATTTGAATGTTAATAAAGAACATTATGCATCCCAAATAAAACAAGTGGGTGTTGTCAAACACACCACTAAAAAGATTTTGTACAATAAAATGTTCAAATGTATAACAAACACTTTGAAAATCACCTTATTGCACACTGTAGCTATAGCACTAATCGTGTTCCAAAGAAGAGACCATTATCTCTCATAGATTTTGAGAATTTGATTTTCTAAGACCTGATATGGGTGAAAAATTGAGTACGGAAAAAAGCAAGTTAAAAGTTAAAAATTTGATTTACCTATATAAATCACTAAATATTTAACACTATAATATAAAGGCTGGACACGACTTGAAAAATCAACAAATTTTAACTATTTTGGACAATTTTAGCTGATATCAAAATTTGACAGATCAATCTATACAGAGTGTTTTATAAGGTAGTGTCCTGTTAAAAGTTATATGGGTGCGACCATTCAACTCAGCGAGCTGCTCTCGGGTGCTTTACATAAGTACAACTAACATAAAATTACAACAACCACAACATATAAATCCATAAAAAAGACATAAACAAAAAAACAGAAAAAATTATTTAGTAAACATGGTAAAAAGTTTGATGAAAAAGTTCGATTTTGAGATACTTTTTTTTAAAACCTTTAATAGAATTTGCACTTTTGGTTTCGTTTGATATTAAATTCCATAACTTCGGTACACCGACTGCAACAGATCTATCACCGGAATTGGTTTTTGAAAAGGCTTTATTAAGAGGTTGTCTGATCGTAATCAAAGGGTTCTGCAAGGTTTATTTGTGTTGAGAAGGTCTCTAAGGTATTATGGTAAAGAATTGTCCTTATGCAGAATACGTAAGAGACAGTATTTTAAAATTGAAGTTGACGGACTAGAATTGGTGTCATACATTAGTCCAAACAAATTTTTCTTATATCATTATACATACTTTGGACCAAATAAATGTTCTTAAATTGTCCATATATTAGCCCAAATGAATATTTTTATATTGTTTATACATTAGTTCTAACAAAATTTTCGCATGAAAATAACATAAAAATCATAGCAACTTTTACACTGGACAGTATCTTTAAATTATTTAAATTTGTTCTTATTGTACACTTCTCTGAATAACATGCTTGATATAAAATTTGTAAAATAGCATTTGAGTTTGGAAGTTCTTGGCCAGTTTGAAGAAAAATAATATAAGATTTGAGATAATGTGACTATAATATCGTAAATATTCAAATTCAATCATACACAAAATCTGTGAAAAATCTGATAATTTACTAGTTGTACATATTTTTTTCTTGGAGAGATTTATCATATAATTAAAGAAATGTGTTATTTTTTGATAAAGTTCTACAAGCGGTCGCCAATCTATAATCTATGAATTTACGCTCAAGACATACAAAAAATATAACAAGAATTTCAATAGTACAGGACTTACGAAACAATGTTTGTCATTCCATTTGATGATTCCAGGATGGCTGTTAAAACACTACCTTGATCTAATATATTAAATCTGTAGAAGCCAACTAGTCCAGTCTACAAATATATAGATTAAAAAAACTGTAACACAAACTATGTCTTCTAGCAGGGTTCAACCTTATTTTAAATAGCAGACTGTCCAGCTGGGCATATGCCACTGAAACTTGTAACCAAGAAACTGGCTTTCCCATTATTAGGCTAACTACAGAATTTTTCACTTGCCTAACTGTGAAAGTGACCAGTGAAATCTTGCTATCCTTTTACTTGTCCAAGGCAAGCATGCTATAATTAACAATGAGCCATGGTTGTGACTAACACAGTGTATATTTATTTGATAATGTGCTTGTGTGTCTTTAGCAGTGGGGCAGTTAGCCAGGTAAAACCACTCCCAGTCACATACAGATGTGGGATGAAATTAACGACTTGAATAGATGACAGACCTTATAATGATCTACAGCACACAAGTTTGACAAACGATATTTATGTTTGTTTTGGGGATACGAAGACTATAAGATACTAATTAAGTGACTTACATTTTGCCAAGTCCATCCACCGTCACGACTAACAAAGACTGTTGAATTGAAGGAACTGAGTTTATTACCAACATTACCATGTGCTAATATAAGACCTGGTGCTTTAGCTTCTGATAATATACCTGGTGCTTGTAGAATGCCCATATCAAGATGTAGATGTAAATAACAATCTTTAACCTGGAGATAAACACAATAATAATGATAAATCCAAACTAAACCTAGCCCAGAAATACAAGATAATATTTATTCAAAACTAAAATGTATGTAATTCTTCGACTCCAGCTCATTAATTTGCTAACTTTGTAGTTTAAAGCAATAATACCCAATCATTATTTACATTTTCACAATTTCTCTTTTCACTTGGTGGTGTTTCAATGTTCTTCCATTCACCTCCCTTGTCAAATGAAATAGATGTTTTGATCTCCATTCTTTTAGAGCTATTTCCCACTTTATGATTGGCTAGGAAGGTACCTTTCATAGATTTTACCTATACAAAATATACAATTAAAGGATTAATTATTAAGTCAAGATCTTTTTATACATTAAATGTTGTAGTCTATCACATCACACTCAAGTACCAAAGAATTCAAACAAGATATACACCTATTTATTGCCATTGCAGACAAATTTGAGCTTTGTGGTTTCGATTCCCGGTTGTACGTGACAAGGAGTAGGGTCGCCTGTCAAACCTTTATGGGTTTTCTCCGGGTGCTCCGGTCTCCGCCCCCTGCTAAAAGACCCCTACGCACAAGCAAATTGTGGAAATAAAGATTGAACCATGTGTTAGTCCCGAAATGACCTAGTTTGTGTTGAGTGGACATTAAACCCCATTTCTCTCTCTCTCTCTTCACAAAATTTAAACTCAACAGTTGTAAAATCGGATAAAAATTGTGATTTCTAGAAGGTCCACAAGCTAAAAATGCAATGTTTCGTACAGCAATGAAATGAAATGGGGTTTAACGTCCTACTGTTCTGCTCCTATACTGGGCTAATGAAGACGGGCATACGCCATACAGTGTGCTATGAGGAAAAATTTTGCCCGGGCAGCGGCACTATCGCCTACTCTTATATCGAATTCCAACTGCCAGGGGATCTTTTACGTGCATTCCAATATATACACAGGACCTCGGTTTTCGTCTCATCCGAATGACTAGACAGCTGTCCTTGTCAGGCCCTCCATTGTTTCGTACAGTTAGGCAATTTTGGTCAGATTTTCACGAAATTAAAACTCAACAATCATTAGGGTGTAATGGTGATATATTTGAACGGTTCTTAAAATCGGATAAAAATTGTGATCTCTAGAAGGTCCAGAAGATCATAATCTAGGAAGTTACGGTCCAATATGCACCAATATCATTATCAAAAGGAATCGAGATGTTCGGGTTATAAACATACATTTAAAGTTTCATCAAAATCAGACAAAAATTGTGACCTCTAGAGTGTCCACAAGCCAAAAACATGATTTTTGTACAATCAGGGGCCATAATCCATGAAGTTACAGTTTAATACACACCAATATCGATTATAACCAACTTACCTCATGTAGATCAATTGCAATCAATCCAGGAATAGGAGCAAAGAAAACATTAGTCAGTGATGGGACATAAAACTGACCAGTAGTATCTGACAGATATAATGTTACACCATCCTTATGACTTACAGCAATAAATACTTGTCCTTCATCAGCATTTACTATTATAAAATCCTATAATAAACACAAGCAATTAGTATAACTAACACAATTAACAGTAATATTTACTGATATAAAATCCTACAAATATCAGTATTTATTAGTATAAAATCCATTCTACAAATATCATTATTCACCGCTATAAAATCCATCCCAAAATATATATCAGTACCGGTTTTTGGTATTTACCAGTATAAAATCCTGCAAATATCAGTATTTAGCATTTACCAGTATAAAATCCTACAAATCAGTATTAACTGGTATAAAATCCTACAAATATCAGTATTTACCAGTATAAAATATATTGCATATTTGACTGTATTTAGATGGAAGAAAAGATTGTAAAACACTGACCTTTGGGGCCACATCTGGTGGAAAATAGGCTCTATTAAATTCTCCTCGATTATATGATACATACATTTCACTTTTTCCATCACCAAGTTTCTATATAAAAAAAAACAGTGGTTGCCATGCAAGATACACCCATATTTTGCAAGAGATGGACAGAGAACAAGCTAAAAAAAATCGGATAAAATTTGTGACCTCTAGAGGGTCCGCAAGCTAAAAATGTGATTTTTCGTACAATCAGGGGTCATAATCCATGAAGTTATAGTTCGATACATGCCAATTTCGAAAGGAACTGAGATCTTTGGGGGTTAGTCCAGTATTTCAAGTTTAGTCAAAATCGGAAAAAAATTGTGACCTGTCCACAAACAAATTATTAACGTACGGACAGGGGCGACGACGACATACTTCCACAAGAAAATGTGGGCGTATAACAATTATTGTGACCTGTAGAGTATCCACAAACAAATTGTGGACAGACAGACAAGGGCGCCGACAATTAAAAATGTTGTAAATTCAGTAGAAAGTAATGCAAACTTAAGATGGGTATAACTTCTGTTAGGACTGATCAAAAGGAAAAATCGCTCCTCCAATATGCTTTTCATTAAGACTATTGCCTTTGTTCGGATGTCTATATTAGTCTGGAATTCATATTTCCTATTAAATGATATAATAGTCTTATTTCAATGAAGCAAAATATGTTATTTTTCTTACCTCTACAAATATATATTCTTTCACAACTAATAAACTATTAGAAACAAAACTTCCCAGCTTCTGTATTTCAGCTGGTTTTGTCATACATGTGTCTAATTGACATGTCTTATAATGTGCACTATCTGTAAGGTAAACATACAGTTTTTTAGTATAGCTGTCATTCAAGGATCTTCTTTCAGTCATATTTGCCAGTAATGCGTGTTTGACAATGAAATTTACCTTTTCTAATGCCATACACCATAAAGTTTTTTATTTAAACATACATTATGCAAGAGCTAAATCTGATTATTGCAAGTCTTTATTTAGGCTTCAGATGTCATAGAAATTATAAATTAGATCTTTATTTACACAACAAGCACAAAATCAACTCTGTAGACCAACATATGGCTTGGATTCGGCTTGGATTTAAACAGGATTTCATTGATTGATTGATTAAATCTTTAAATGGCGTCGTAAATAGAGATTAAGTGTACGAAGCGAGGCCGCTGTTGAGCAAGGCCGCATGTCAGTCAATTTGATTGAAAGTTCGATATATAAGGCCTTGATATTATTTTTAGTTGTGGTTAAAATGAAAGTTTGGATGTCGGTATTATACGCTCTTTTGTCACTTGCGTTTACAGAAAAATTATGGAAATTGATAAACATCGCAGCTAACATCACCGCAGTTGAATTGCAGCCCCATTGGATCACTGTTTCCTATTTGTCTGTTTCAGGAGTTACGTAGGCCTACCAGTTACAGTACAAGAGTACATGCAAGCTAACAAGAAGTCGGCTATAATTATGCCTCATTGATTTGGTCCATTCCTTTCAAACTTTCGCTTCTTATCTATATATTAAAAGTCTTATTTTTAATTTATAGTAAAAATAAATGTGATAGGAATTGAATTGCGACCCCGTCTCAAACCGAATAGGCTAACGGTACCACAGCCATTGAAAACGTTACTTGATAATCGAGATTATGTAGGTGGAGTTAACGCGTGTCAATCAAACAATTGGCCATTCTCGGAGACGGTGAAGAGAGAATTGACTCCTATATCTAGTCAAAAAATTACAATGCTGATAACTTTGTTCAGAATAAAGAAATTTGACTGAAATTTTCAATAAATTCTTCTTTCATCATCTATTTTTGATCTGTTATAGCAAGAATGGCCAACTCTCTATTAAATTCTCCCATAATATATCTTTAATGTTTAACCAGCGGCTGCCAGGCAGGATACGCCCACATTTTGCAAGAGATGGAGAGAGAACAAGCTAAAAACAAAAACAAGTTTTTGTACAATCAGGGGTCATAATCCAGAAAGTTATGGTCTGAAATGCGCAAATATCAAAAGGGACTGAGGTTTTTGGAATATAAAGATATGTTTTAAGTTCCATCAAAATTGGATAAAAATTGTGACCTCTAGAGGGTCCATAACCTTAGAATTACATACTTATATACAATTTGCATACAAAGAGCAGCCATTTTGTCGGCAGTTTCATTTCGATTTTCCCAAAATTCCAATTCAACCTTCATTATGGTGGAATAGTGATCTAAACGGTTTTTAATATCAAAAAAAAATTGTGACCTCTAGAGAATCCACAAGCTAAAAATGTGATTTTTCAACCAATCAGGGACCATAATCCAGGATTATAATCGATATGCACGGATATCGAAAGGAACCAAGATCTTTGGGTTATAAACATGCATTTCAAGTTTGATCAAAATTGGATCAAAATTGTAACCTCTAGAGTGTCCACAAGCTAAAAATGCAATTTTTCGTACAATCAGGAGCCATAATTCATGAAGTTTTGATCCAATATGCGCGAATATCCAAAACAACCAAGATCTTTGTTTATAAACATGCATTTCAAGTTTCATCAAAATTGGCAGAAAATTGTGACCTTCAGAGGGTCCACAACTTTAATATATATACCAGATATATACACTATTTGGTCCGATTTTTACGAAATTGGAACTCAACCTTCATTACGGTGTAACGGTGATATAATCGAACGTTTTTTGAAATCGGATATTTAAAGTGACCTTCAGACTTCAGAGGGACCACAAGCGAAAAAAGGCGATTTTTCGTACAATCAGAGGCCATAATTCAGGAAGTTACAATCCGATATGCGCAAATATTGACAGGAACCAAGATCATTGGGTTATTAACAAGCATTTCAAGTTTCATCAAAATAAATCGGATTAAAATTGTGACCTCTACAGGGTCCACAACCTTGATATACCATATTTTTACACTATTCACGTACAAGCGGCGACCATTTTGTCTGGCAGTTTTGGTCTCCGATTTTCATGACATTCGAACTCAACCTTTACTACGATGTAACGGTGATATAATCAAACGTTTTTTTAAATCGAATAATAATTGTAACCTCCAGAGGGACCACAAGCTAAAAAAAAGGTGATTTTTTTAACAAACGGGGGCCATAATTCAGGAAGTTATGATTCGATATGCGCAAATATCGAAAGGAACCAAGATCTTCGGGTTATAAATATGCATTTCCAGTTTCATCAAAATCGAATTAAAATTGTGACCTCTACAGGGTCCACAACCTTGATATACCATATTTTTACACTATTCGCGTACAAGCAGCAGCCATTTTGTCCGTCAGTTTAGGTCCGATTTTCACGAAATTTGAACTCAACCTTTATTCCGACCTAACGGAAACGTTTTTTATAAATCGGATAAAAATTGTGACCTCTGGAGGGACCACAAGCCAAAAACGCTATTTTTCGTACAATCAGGGGCCATAATTCAGGAAGTTACAATTCGATATGCGCGAATATCTAAAGGAACCAAGATCTTTGGGTTATAAACATGCATTTCAAGTTTCATCAAAATCGGATCAAAATTGTAACCTCTAGAGTGTCCACAAGCTAAAAACGCGATTTTTCGTACAATCAGGGGCCATAATCCATGAAGTTATGGTCCGATACATGCCAATATCGAAAGGAACCAAGATCTTAGGGAGATAAAGCTATATTCCAAGTTTAGAGAAATCGGATAAAAATTATGACTTGTAGAGTGTCCACAAACAAATTGTGGACGGATGTCCGGACGGACAAACAGGGGCGATGACAATATACGTCCACATGAAAATGTGGGCGTATAAAAACTATTGAAATTTGTTTGTATAATTAATTCAATTTTTTTCCTAGTTATATTTTGCAACAAAGTGTTTGACCAACCTTTGGTTAACGAAATATGCACAATAAATGGCTTACTGCAAATATTTAAAGATAAGATAACGAGATGGCAGTTCTCGCTATAATAGTTAAAAACTAGATAGTGTAAAGGTAATTTGCTGAAAATTTCAGTGAAATTGATCCACCATGAGCCGAGAAAGAAGCTTGTGAAATTTTGGCATAGTCTCGATCATCATTACTAAAATCATTAATATAAACAGCAAGTCTCGATTATCCACCTTTATTGATTTAATTATCAACGGCCGTTAGCGGCATATAGGAATCTAATCCAGCCAACATCGAAGGCTAGCCTTGACATCGAGAGTTTATTATGGTCTGGATAAGTTAGTTAATGTCTTATTGATAATTTAGATAACATTTCAGGCCTAAAGGAAGACTTGTAATAAGCAGATTTTGCTCTTGCATAATGCATGTTTAATTAAGATCCCTGAGATGGTTTACTACGGGAATATGACTGTTTGATACATTGAAACACATTTGTTTTTAATAGTGTAAGAATGTGTTATCTTTGGCAATGCTGATTCATGGACTGCCATGTTTTGTTTAAAAATTCTTCATCGAGTTGGATTAAACAAAGAAAATCTGATCCAGATTATGTGGGAATAGAGAGTGAAGTACTAAAAATTTAAGCTATAACAAAATGATTAAAACAAAGAGATTTTTACCTCCAATCGAACTCTGTAACTCTAAATGAACTGTAGCATTATCTGTGTCATAGCCTGGAACACTCCTGGAAATAATATATCATCAGTCTCAACATTCACACATTCATGAAATTCAGATACTAAATCTAGTTAAACAGACATTATGCTAGACCTAAATCTGCCTATTGCAGGTCTTTCTTTAGGCCTGAAATGTTATAAACACTATTAATTAGAAATTTATTTAACAAAACAGGACCATAATCGAGTCTCGATGCCATCTGATGCTTCCGATTTTCATTAGATTTGAATCCGATCTACCGCTCAGCAGCCATTCATGATTAATCGCAAAAATAGACAATCAAAGCTACAAGGTTTTTAAAACGAGTAGTTCTCAGCTGTTACATTATTTGTTATGTAAATATTATAGTGAGAACTGTCAGCTATTTATCTAATCTTCCATAATGTATCTTTAACTATAGAAATATTTCATGACAATGAGAAAGTATCCATAAATAATGTGACAAAAATTATAATAAATAGTAGTATCTTTATTACCAGAAAAATCTTGATGAGACACTCCCATCTACCAATAATTTCCAATCATTACCAAAGGTTTTAGAATAATACAGCTGAAACAAGGACAGAAATACAAATTAAAATTCGGAACCACTTTAACCTACCCGACTATTTATTCTTTTGGAAGTTATTTAAAAGGGTACATCTCACTTTGACAATCCTCGACAATCACATGATATTTTTTATGTGACATAACAGTTTTAATTGGGCATGTTCAATTTAGTTTGTGCGTTAAATATGAGACAAATTTGTTTTTTTTAAGATTCACTTGATGGGTTGTGGTTCAGCGAACACTCAATGCAAAATGCTTTACTCTACATACATGGCTTCCAGAGTGGTCCCCCCTTGTCAGTGATGCAGGACAGAGGGCCTGACAAGGACAGCTGTCTAGTCTTTCGGATGGTACGAAAAACCGAGGTCCCGTGTACACATTGGCGTGCATATAAAAGATCCTTTGACAGTTGGAATTTGATATAAGAGTAGGCTGCAGTGCCGCTGTGCGGGCAAAATTTCCCTCATAGCATACTGTATGGCGTATGCCCGTTATCTTTAGCCCAATTCGGAGCAGAAAAGTAGGATGTTAAACCCCATTTCATTTCATTTCATTTCTAGTCTACATACATGGCAGAAAAATAGCAGATTTAGATTTCAGAGGAGGCACTTTTGATTGGGGTGGGGTGGGGGGAGAATTTTGTTGAAATTCCCAGGCTATACATATACTAAACAGCAAAAAAAAAAACGTCAGTACGATTTCAAAATCAGAGAGGCACTTTAATCAAATCATTCTAGAAAATGACTTACTAAATGGATCAAAGCAATTTTTTGTGAACAGTATGTTGACACATTAGTGATTAATTCATCGCAATTCTAAGACATTACGAGAATGTTTAAAGTCTGTACACAGGTCTATACATCAGTATCTGGTGTGTCCACCGCAAGTGTCAATAACAGCAGTGCAGCGTCTGTACACGGAGTGGACCACTGGAACGACACTCTCAGACAAGCCTGGCGCAATCCATCAGCTGTGTTTGGTCTCGGTACGACCTTATAAAGTCTCCTCTGAATTTCATCCCAAAGATGTTCAATCGGGTTTAAGTCCAGACTAAGGGCTGACCAGTGCATAACGTTGACACCGTTCTGCTGTAGAATGTCCCGAGTTACTCTGGCAGTGTGGGCACGGGCGTTTTCATGCTGGAAAACGTTTCGATGACGTGAGAAATGTGGTATCACATGGGGTCTGAGAGCTTGATCGATGTAGCACACTGCTGTGATGCCGCCTCCTGTCCCTGGACCAAGATTTTGGAACACCACAGGATTCATTCTCTGGTTCAAGCCGATTCCACCCCAAACCATTATGCTTGGACCTCCCCATGAGTCTTGTTCCATGACACATTGGTCAGAATAATGCTGGCCACGTCGACGCCATATTCTGGTCCTGCCATCTGCAGTTGATACGCAATACCGACTCTCGCCTGTGAACAGTACAGTTCTCCATTTCCTGTGTTGCTAGTTCTGGTGCTGTTGGGCAAACTGTAGACGTTCACGTCGATGGCGAGGGGTGAGGATCGGTCCACACTAAGGTACGGCAATGGATGTTCTCTCTGGTGAGACGTTGGTGCACTGTATCGGTACTGATGGGTCTTCCATGTGTTCCCACTGTCTGACGTGCTGTCTGAGATGCTGTCGCACAACATGGTGGTCTTGTTGCCTTGTGGTAATCCTTGGTCTACCAGTTCTGGGGTGATCATCCGTGGTGTTGGTGGCCCGAAAACGTTGCTGAAGCCTGTAGATGGTCCGGACATAGACCTGGAAGTGATTGGCAACGGCTTGGGAAGTGTGGCCAGCGTTGAGTCTTCCTCGGCCCTGGTTCCTCTGAGCTGTTGTGAGTCGTGGCATGCTGCTGACGTTGTAGTGTGAATGATTCAACCAGGTATGGGATGCATTTTATAGGGCTGGTCCCGGTGAACAGCACGTGCAGCATGAGTTACATGAAAATCATGGAGAACACATTACCATCTCAGAAGTCAGGTTGCGTTTTTGAGAACATTTCCTGGGTTCAATTCTGTGTTTGGGAAGGAGCCTTATTGCTCAGGTAAAGTTGGGGATGTGGTCACAAATATACAATAATAACATTTGGCAAGTTTTATGCAATGTGTCTATTCAGAGTAACATACCAAACTGACATTTCTTTTGCTGCTTAGTATAGTATGAATGTGGGTACCAGAGGTTAGGGCCCTGTTTCTCGAAATCTTAACTAGAGATAAAATCCAAATTTTAGTAGATACTTCAATTTCGATTGGCTAAACACTAAAATCAATCTAATATTATCCCATCAAATTACTAAAATTTGGATTTTATCTTAAGTTAAAATTTTGTGAAACTAGCCCCCGATGATTCTAGTAAGTGTCTTTGGTTAGCATATATAACTAGGTGGACCATTTCCTTTAAACCACAGTAATCTATGAATTTATGACAAATGATTGATTATAGAAAAACAAACCTTTCTATCAAAAAAACTATAGCCTAATAACCAATCTTCTACTCTAGGATGAGGTTTGATTAGATCCGCTTTAAAAGGAATTGCTACTTGTGTCCTGTTTGCTAACTCATCAGTTGTAATATATATGCTTTGATTAGCATAATCCACAAATATAGCCTACAAGTACAACATATATCATTAAAATTCTCATTTATAAAACATTTAATGGAAAACGCATAATAAATAACTCAAGAAAAAACATCAAAATATCCTTTTTGGTTTAAATGTTGTAGATTATACACACGCACCAACAATGTAATACTTACATGTCGTGTACTACCCTGTCATATTACCATCATCTAGTTGAGGACAACCCAGATTGATAGATTCTGGATTATTGGACAAGGAACTGGTCCTAAAGCACAACTCATTTCATTGTTGTTGTTCTTGGGGTCTATGCTCTTCGAAAAAGTCTAAGTCTCCGCCAATTCAAGTATGATAGACATGAAACTTGGCATGCTTGGTCCTTGGACAATTGAGCATTGATTGAGAGACTTCAATTTTTGATATGACTTCACAATTCCAAGGCGGCTATGATGATGTCCTATTAGGTTCCTTGTCTATGGTATGCTTGTACTTGTTGACCACAGCAGCCAAGTCATACCCAACTTACGTCACAATTCTGCGGCCCGTAATTCCGTGAAAGATGGTCTAAAACCAAAAAAATGTGAGATATATATGCCATGGATAATTATATATTTATCTTCATTTCAAAGTTATTGTATTACAACTCAAAAATATCCAGGTCAGTGTGTTTTCTATAGAGCACGTGTTAATTACGTGTGAGCTACTGAAATGGTTTTTCTCCGGCCAATTCAACTATTTCGTTATTTAAGTAGCCAAAACGGAATATTTAATTATTAAATAATTATCATGAGCCTTACTAATATTTCTTTTTTAAGTCAATAATTTTAGAAAATAAAAAAAAGTATTTGTGATACGTTTCGGTAATCAATACCTTCTACGGTGAATAAATCCCACATCCCCACTCAGTCATAAACTTGCATGTTGTAGAGCATTTCCGACAGTCTATTTTTCAAAATTTTCTTGGCGAGGTCCCCAATGGACTCGCTACTTTGGCGCTCACAAGGGGAATTCGTTGAGGTTCGCAAGTCCGTTCGTTTGACATTTTGTTCTCTAGTTGGATAAACTAGTGATCAGGCGACGAACGGTATCTGGGCAGATCTATTTATCTCGACGATCGGTGCCTGACAGAATACTGTAAGACACGTTTTCGGCAGTCTATTTTTCAAAATTTTTCAGGGGGAAGACTCCCTACATTGACGCTCGTGAGTTGGCTTCGTCGGGATTCGCAAGTCCATTCGTTTGACACTTTACCTCATCGATCAGTGCCTGAAATACTGCCAGGCTGCATTTCTGGCAACCTGTTTTTCAAAATTTTCTGGGGGAGGACCCCTACCCCTAGTTGAAGCTCATGCCTTTGCCCCCTTAACCTTGGACTTTGCCCCAGCTTTGCCCCTCCAATCACAATTCCGCTACGTACATGGTCCTCCCTAATAAACAAACTATACATTTTTGGAAAACTTATAACACCAGGAACACAAATCCAGGCAGTTCCAAGCAAAAAGTCTGCACAAAATCGATTTAGGGCCAGATGAATTGTCAAGAAAATGCTATACATGTATTTATACTAATAATTGTAAGTTGACCTAAAATTAAATATTGGCGAAAACACCCAATGCCTTCATCCTAGGCAAAGAATATGATATTGGTTAAATTTTGATTTATTCCAAAATGCAGAAAACATAATGGACAAGGATACATACAGAATTTTGGAGTTATCTCCCTTTCTGTTAAATGTCTGAAATTGGTAAAAGTATTTCAGGAACGTGTTGACTGCTGATGCTGTATGACGCACAAGACCATGTGTGAGCACCAGGGCTTCCACTTCAAAATTTTCACTGCCGGTCATTTTTGATAACGCACGAAAACTTTTCAAAGTAAATTCATATTTCATGTTTTTATTCATGGTAGGGTATTGTGAATTCACGTGTCTATACCACTTTGTCACCATGGGGTGAACAAAAAAAATATATTTGACTTAAAAAAGAAATATTATTTAATAATTAAATATTCGGTTTTGGCTACTTAAATAACGAAATAGTTGAATTGGCCGGAGAAAAACCATTTCAGTAGCTCACACGTAATTAACACGTGCTCTATAGAAAACACACTGACCTGGATAATTTTGAGTTGTAATACAATAACTTTGAAATGAAGATAAATATATAATTATCCATGGCATATATCTCACATTTTTTCATGGTAGGGTATTGTGAATTCACGTGTCTATACCACTTTGTCACCATGGGGTGAACAAAAAAAATATATTTGACTTAAAAAAGAAATATTATTTAATAATTAAATATTCGGTTTTGGCTACTTAAATAACGAAATAGTTGAATTGGCCCGAGAAAAACCATTTCAGTAGCTCACACGTAATTAACACGTGCTCTATAGAAAACACACTGACCTGGATAATTTTGAGTTGTAATACAATAACTTTGAAATGAAGATAAATATATAATTATCCATGGCATATATCTCACATTTTTTTGGTTTTAGACCATCTTTCACGGAATTACGGGCCGCAGAATTGTGACGTAACTCCTAATAATGTATAACTAAATGACTAACGGATAACTAACTTCACGGCTAGTGACACTATCGCCCCCTAGAATATGGTCGTGTATAAGAGTAACCGTATATACACGACCTTTCTTCTACACGTGGAATTATCAATATTGCTGCACAATAGAACTGGAATACGTATTTTTCTTAATTGTTCGGTAAGCAAGTTAACTAATCTCTAGATTTTATTTCAACAATTTCCACAAGGCCGTAATACCGCTATAAACATTTTTAAATGCATTTTTCTCCCAACACGTACGTTGTTGAGGACTTACGTAATTTCTATGCTTTTTTTATGACGTTGAAGGTCGATCATAGCCATGTATGAAATTTTTTTTTTTTTAAAAAAAGACCCTCTTTCCGGCGTGCAAAATGACCGTTAGGTCAGATCTAGGAACGGTCATTTTCCATAGCCGTAGGTCTCGACGGGCATATACGGCCGACGTGGAACCCATGGTGAGCACACAAGCCTAATATTTATATCGTTAATGGGGTCACAGGGGACTGCAAGGGTTGGTGAGCGGGTGTTTACCCAGAAATTATGGGCTGAGCAAGGAGATATGTTTGACATTGGTTGAGCAATATGTCTATGAAGTAATGGAGACCAGACTATGTTCGTAGTTTTGTAAATCGCATTGAAACCACGTGATATTTTCCACTAAAACATAAACTCACACCAACATACCCTTTCGATTAGACCCTACGTTATTTTTACTACAGGTAGCTGTAAACCTCTAGTTCAGATATTTAAGACCGAATTACAAACATTTAAACTGAAACTGTATCTATAATTGTGTAATTTGCTAACAAATATAGATTTAAGACAAAAATTATATAGTGAAGTAAATCAATTATTGAAAATCAAAATTACGGAGTTACCCTACACTTTAAATGTCATCAAATTAGTCGTTATCATCATCACTGTCACTACATGTATCAAACATCAAGTTCGATTTCTTTTTGTTTCATTTTCACATTTACTACATGGATACAGATTAGATATGTACATCTACAAGACAGCCCCGGTGCGGTATCCCCCTGTCTGTGGTACAGTATAGGGAGTGGGCTGGAAGGACAAAGCATATTTATCTTTTTCAAAAGTATCAAGCAATCAAACTGATTATTTATATATACTTAGTCTAATCATAAAATGTTCACCTTTAAACTCAGTCGAGGTTTTGAAGTGAAATTATACACTAAGTTTCATGACTCTAGATAAGTCAGAATAAAAGATATCTTGTCCGAAAGCATTGACCACTGAAATTGCTTAGCTCTGCTTAGCTTTAGCAGAAAATGTTAATCATTGAACTCAGTCACCTAATGAACATCTACATCAAGTTTAAACATTCTACTTCAGTTACCCCAGAGTTGTTATGTTTCAAAGTCTTGAACAATCAAATTGCTAATCGCTACTTAGCCTAAGCAGAAAATTCTCATCATCGAACTTAGTCAAGGTATTGATATAATGAACCTATACTCGAGTTTCATCGCTATCATTCAATTAGAGTCAAAGTTATTGTGTTACATGGTCTCAACCAATCAAATTGCTTAGCCTAAGTGGAAAATGCGCATGATCAAACTCTGTCAAAGCATTCACTTAATAGACACCTACACCAAGTTTAAACATTCTACCTCAATAAGATGGAGAGTTATTGTGTTTCAAAGCCTCAACCAGTCAGATTGAAGTCTCTACTTTGCCTAACCAAAAAATGCTCAGCATCAAACTTTGTTAAGTAAGGTATAATGAAACTACACACAAAGTTTCACCACAATCACTCAATTAGAATCATAGTTGTCGAGCTCCACAGGCTCGACCAGTCAAATTATTTCCCTTTACTATGGCTATGGTTTGATTCATTATTGAAACTGGTTGATCAAGACGAAAGCGTCATAGGTGTCGCTTCTCAACAAAATGGTTGCAGACGAATACACGTCCATTCCCACGAAATGATTCTGCTTCTATGTCTGTGGTGCGTAGTTTTAAACATAACGACGATATTTTCAAATATTGTCAAATATAAAACCTTCATTCATAATTAATTTTCTCAAGTGATACAAAAAATATTAAATAATTTAGTTTTTATTGAGATCTAAATTTTATACATTAATTTTGTTTTTAAAAAAAGAACAAAAAAGTGTGAGAATTATTTTCATTTACGTAAAAAATATGTGACGTCATTGATTAGACGCGTCATAGAAATAGTTCTATGAGGCGCGTAATCTCGCTTGGGCGAGATTTGGTGGATAGAATTATTTTTGTTAGTTACGTGATCTCGCTTGGACGAGATTTGGTAAGTTGACATGCGCATTGCCTGTTTTGCCCAGTGTATCCGGTTCCGGCTGAATTTTTTTTTAATCAAAAGTCTGTGGGTGACATTTTCAATTACGCTCCTGTGTTACCGAAAAAGAGCTTTGCTCAAGCACCGCGCACAGCGCGGTGCTTTAGAGCTTCGCTCTATATTAAGCTGTCAAATTAGCTCTTAAGTTTAATAAAAAGATTTTCAGTTCGTTACTTTTTACGTCAGACCCCAAATTCATTAAACAAAATTAATGAATCTGTAGTATACAGCTAATAAGTTTTCTGTATTGATTTCTCTAACTTTAAAAAAAAAAATCTGAAAAAAAAACCGACCTACCGACCCTTCTCCTCGATTGTGGGTCGGGTTTGGTGAAACAAAGATATTTTTAAGGTCAGCCTTATCTCTGTTTACCCTATGCAGAAAATGCTCATCTTCAAACTCCATCAAGGTATTCACCTAATAAACACCTACACCAAGTTTGAACATTCTAGCTCTATTAGAAGAAGAGTTATTGTGTCCCATAAAGTGTGAGGGACAGACAGACAGATAGACAGACAGACCCATTTTAATAGTCCTTCACAAAATGGTCTGTATGCTTAAGATTTAGAGGGGCAGTCTCATATTTCACTGACATCCTAAATAAAAGTGGGTTTTCCTTTAGTGAGTAAATCAAACTATAATATATGATGATACATCCTATTTAGTTGTCTGAAAACTTCAAATCAAAATATCAAGGCGTTCTGAAATGATCACTAGGTCTGCTTAACAGGGATATATATCTTATTTAAGAAATTTCATTCTAAAATTGCATGTGTGACTTAATAATCCTAATAATCTTTTATTTCGCACGTACATGTATATTGACACAGCTATCCAGGCATTAACATAGTGTGGAATCTAGGGTCGACTGCCAACCCACAGGCCTATATGTACACTGAAAGAGGTTTTTTTTAAAAAAATATCAATGATCTTCACATATTTGAACATCACAAGGAGTAGGAGTAGGAAGCATTCATTCTGAATAAATCCAAATGTCACTAAAATATATATGGGAATTGTCCTTAAAGAGTTTAAAGATTAATTCAAAGCAATTCCTAAAATTGTGTTTGATAAAAGTACACAGAATTTCATTTTTCTACAACAGCTAATATATCTAGGTCAACAGCTATATGTAGATCAGGCACACATATCATAGATGTCATTCTCTTGTTACTATTAATACTTCGCTACAATATGTCATAATAATAACACAACTGACAAATGCTTTTTTTCAGGGCAATAACACATCTTACTGTATTACTTTGTCTAAAGGAAGATGACTGTATATCATGGACCTATTTTAACTACATTAAATATGAAATTACATGAAGCCTACATCCTGTTCGGTATAATATAAAAATACTTCTTACCTTCTTAAAATTAACAGGGGACACATAAAAGAAGGTAATTACTGCACCGGCGGGGAAGCTAACCAAAGTGTAATTATTACCATAATCTAGTGACCTGAAAAAAAATTATGAAAATGTACCTAACAATTCATTACGAATATTATTATCATCATAAGCTTATCAAAAGGAAACAAGCCAACAGTGAGGCTGATGTCCCCTGCTGAAATCCCAAAATAAATAGATGACACATATCAAAGACCTACAAGGTTAGACTGGCGACTCTACTAGTCCTTGCCACCCTGCATGAAATTATGACTGGCGCAGATTTTTCATTCTACAGTAAATGCGCTGAACCAAAGCTATAGAGTTAAAACTATTCACAATTAAAAGAACTTGGTGCAAATTATTCGAATTGATCAATTCTATCTTAGTTTATGGTCCTTTTGTAAAGTGTACACTGGTTTCTATTGATTTCACAATGGTATCTTTATTTCACTCAAGACAATTAAAATATATTAAGGTTCCATTTGGTAATCTTTTTCTTCTTTTAGTACTTGAGGCGACACTCTTTAAAAAGAGCCCAAGTGTCCTTTCTGAAACTTAGCCAGCTTGTTCTTTGGACAACTGTGTCGATTGACAGACACATCACAATTCAAAGATTGCTGTGATGATGTCATGGCTGGTTTCTGGTTCATATAGTACACTCATACTTGTTGACTGTGATATCTGGATTGTTTGTTGTGTCTTTAACTTTTAAGCATAAATAATTTGAATTAATGCAATTTGTGTAGACAATGTGTTGTAATTTAACTACATTTGTACATATAGACTTCATTTTGATGTTTAAAATCCGCTTGCAGTATGGATAATGCCTATTGTATCCGAATAGATTTCTATTTTACTCTTACCTCCAAACTTTGCTGGAAATTACTTGATGTGTTGAGCGACTCCTCTGCCTGGTCAAGACAAAAATTGCCTAAAACGAAACATTGGAAATAATTTTTCTACTTATTATATCATAGTTCGTAAAAGTTTATCATTACCTAATTTGAGCACAACTACATGTATATGCACAAATAACAGAATTGACCATGACATTTCGAAACCAAGCTGATTTGGACCATGGCTGATTCGGACCAAAAGTCAAAACTGATTCGGACCAAAAGTCAAAGCTGATTCGGACCAAAAGTCAAAGCTGATTCGGACCAAAAGTCAAAGCTGATTCGGACCACATTCTGGGTCGATTCGGACCACCATGAGGCCGATTCGGACCACACAATAAAAAAATACCGGTATTAGAAACTGAGATTTTGATATGGAATTAAATTTAAAAGGGTTTTATCTAGGCTATAGCGTGTCTATAATATGATCTTTTATGAATGTCTATTTATGTTTATATTCCATTTTTTGATGTCACAGTGACTGTATTATCAGGGATTATCTCTTTAATCTTATGTAAAATATTATACGCAATTAATTTTGCAATTTAAGCATGCCATTTTTTTTTTATTTTATAAACTTCATAGCTTGTTTCCGAAACCATTATATATTTTGTTTGTAATATATGTTATAAAAATACTGTTTAAACCAATTTATGTTAATTTCAATAAGTCATCCAAATTTTAAAACCAACACGAGCAATACAGCAGCATAACAGAAATCTGGTATTACGAATAAATGATGTATAGAAAAGCATAGAAAAGCAATCAAAATATTTATCTTACCTTGTTCAGAAAAAAGACATTAAAAAATATATTTATACTATAAATATAGACTTGATGTTAACACAAGTAAACTGGTAGTATCGTTGAAAATGTACTATATATATATTACTAAATGAAAATTACTCAGATCTCACTGACAGCCACAACAGCGGAATTTGTGTGATTGGATCCGATTGTTAATTGGATTACTAGGCTAGTCATTAATTACCAATGTATTGCGTGATTAGGTTCTTGTATATTGCTAACTGAGTTTTATAGTGTAAAGTGTGACTTAATTAATAATATTTGTCAACCAATTTAGTGCATTGGTTTCAACATTTGTCTAGATCAGACAGGTCTCTGTCTCGGCTACTTGGTTACATTACATTTATCTGATTATATAAATATGATGGAAAATGAGCTCACACAATTGCTCCTTGAAACTTATTTCAGTATCCTACTAAATATGGCCTCGTGTAAATTTCAAGAAACAAAAAACTATAATGGGGACATCTGTAATAACTTTTTGTTATTACCACCACCTAATGATATCCATATAGAGCGGTTAAAATAGTTATTTTACAGAAAAAAACTCATTTAAAATCCAACTGATGGCCTTCTTATATAATAATACTGTATACATTTTAAGAATTATTTGATTTCGCACCAATACCAGTGGTTGCCAAGCAGGATATGCCCACATTTTACACATGGATAGAGAAAAAGCTATAAAAAAACAATGATTTTTTGTACAATCAGGTGCCATAATCCAAGAAGTTATGGTCTGAAATGCGCGTATAGCGAAAGGAACAAAGATCTGTGGGATATAAAGATATGTTTTAAGTTTCATCAAAATCGAACAAAAATTATGTCCTCTACAGAGCCCACAACCTTCTATACAATTTGCGTACAAGGATCGGCCATTTTGTTAGGCAGTTTCGGTTCGATTTTCACTAAATTCGAACTCAACTGTCATTAGGGTGTAATTGTGATACATTTTAAAGATTATTAAAATCGGATAAAATTTGTGACCTCTAGGGGGTCCACAAGCTAAATATGTGATTTTTCGTACAATAAGGGGCCATAATCCAGGAGTTACGGTCTGATCTGCGCAAATATAGAAGGGAACCAAGATCTTTGGGTCATAAACATACATTTCAAGTTTCATCAAAATCAGATAAAAATTGTGTCCACCCATGGTATTACATACTTTTACACTATGTGAATACAATGCGCAATAAATACTATCGATGTAGACTGAAATAACCAGACACTAGAGATTGCCATTCGATTGAGACTTCTGGTGTATTTCGCCAAACATAACTGATTTGAAATTAGGGTAAAAACAGAAACGATTGAATGTAAATCAGTTTATATACATTCATATTACATTATTTTATGTGTTGCGACCTATTTGTGTCAATTTCTAGATTCCAAATATTAGCGACTTAGCTCCTTTAAAGTAAATCATAAAAGTAGGCCTTCGAGTTTTCAAAGTGAAAGACTCAAAATTTAACAGCATTTTTAAAATTTATTTCCTATATCACGATATTAATCGTATCATAGACTATGAATCGTGATGCGCTTTGTATCGTGGCCTGGCGTATCGTTGCAGCCCTACTGTTTGATGATACTGGGTTATTCGTTGCAGTAATTATACTAATTATTTGATATTGGGTTATGATTTGCTAATACTGGTAGTATTTATTGTCATAATATGTAAACATATTTTAAATACTCTCGTCATTCAAATATCATGGTCCGAATCAGCCAAGAATCTGGTCCGAATCAGCCACAATGTGAAGCACCTTTTCCTTGATTTAGCTCATTGGTATTGAAGTAATCAATCACTAATTACCCTATTTATTGTCATTTTTGTCATATTAGCAAATATATGTAAACATATTTTTAAATACTCTGTCATTCAAATAATGGTCCGAATGAGCCTTGTCATGGTCCAAATCAGCCAAGAATCTGGTGGGTGAAAATGTAAAAGATTGATATTGTGTGCAACAAAGAAATATGGATATTAATTGTCTAACTTCGATTGGTATTAAGTACATGTATGCAACATATCAGCATCAATCAGTGAACTGGATCGATCGCTGATCAGGGAGACTGATCGCACAATACTGGATCTTCAAAATCGTGCGAAATATTTTGATACCAGGATTGTGGGTGTGGGTTTGGGTTTGGGTAAGGGCTAGGAACCTTACCCTAACCCTAACCCACAATCCTTATATCAAAATATTTCGCACGAATTTGAAGATCCAGTATTCAAGTATTGTGCAAGACTGATCATTCTAGGCTGTATTATAATTTATATTTCGTACATCACTCTTTTCTTTTCCTGACCAATGAACAAACGCTTCATTGCTGTTTTCTGTGCCATTCAAATAGAACTCATGGGCCTTAGGCATTGGATTGTCTTCGGCGTCTCTCCTGTTTCTGAAATTTGGTTCTTCGACTTCACTGTTTATGAATCTTTGGACAGACTGCAACAAATTGTTCTTATTGCCAGTATCACTAACTCCGAGCGACACTTTCTTAGGACTGGCTAAATCTACATACTGTTCATTTTTTAGAATAGATAAATGTCCATTTGCTAACACAAAAAATTCAAAAATAATGAAAAGTGTGTTGAACATAAACATTTTAGCTTATTGTGATATTATGTTTTCATTTCAACATCAGCCATTAATTTACTTTACTTCCGCAAAGGTAGTCTCGAGTAATGAGACCTAAATTCCTCAAGACTCCAAAACTTCGAATCAACCCTAAGTCCAATTCAAATAGTCAGTCGAATAAACTAGTCGATGGCTGATTAAAATTTTGGAATAGTTTGTAATAAATATAATTTAAAGAAAAAACGCACTAATTCATATATCGTTTATTAATGTTTTTGTCTATTTTTTTTTATTTTCCCTCATGTTCAAATTTGATTGTTCAAATTAAAATCTTAAGTAGTTATCTTAGTTACTGCCACCGCTGCTTAATAAAGTCATGCTTTACCTTTTCCCTCGTCATTTTGAGCGACGGGTTTATTTGACTGGATTATTCGACTGTTTTTTTCGACTGGATTATTCGACTGAATTATTGACTGATGTTATTGACTGAAGTATTTCACTGATTTTATCGACTGAAGTATTTAACCGATTTTATCGACAGGACGAGGCCACGAATGTCAAAAACCTCATCCCAACTAGTTTCAAGTCCGATTTTGCGGGCAAAAGTAGTTTGATAATATTAAGGTACTTTTTTCGGCTCCCACATCTAAATAAATAGAATCGCTACATATTTGTGATACGTTTCGGTAATCAATACCTTCTACGGTGAATAAATCCCACATCCCCACTCAGTCATAAACTTGCATGTTGTAGAGCATTTCTGACAGTTTATTTTTCAAAAAAAATTTGGCGCTCACAAGGGGAATTCGTTAATTCGTTGAGGTTCGCAAGTCCGTTCGTTTGACATTTTGTTCTCTAGTCGGATATAAACTAGTGATCAGGCGACCAACGGTATCTGGGCAGATCTATTTATCTCGACGTTCGGTGCCTGACAGAATACTGTAAGACAGCATTTCCGGCAGTCTATTTTTCAAAATTTTCTGGGGGAGGACTCCCTACTTTGACGCTCGTGAGTGGGCTTCGTCGTGATTCGCAAGGCCGTTCGTTTGACACTTTACCTCATCGATCAGTGCCTGAAATACTGCCAGGCTGCATTTTCGGCAACCTGTTTTTCAAAATTTTCTGGGGAAGGTCCCGTACCCCTAGTTGAAGCTCGTGCCTTTGCCACCTTAACCTTGGACTTTGCCCCAGCTTTGCCCCTCCAATCACCGACGGCTGGCGCCGCCACTGGTCAGGGGGTGGGGGATATTGGACGAGTGGCAGTGAACTAAGATAATACACAGTAGCCAATCATGCTCGTAGCCATAGCTGAAGGAGCCGGGGGTACGGGGCAGGGATCGGGGGATTCCCTACTAGTTTCAATTCCGATTTTAACGGCAAAAGTAGTTTGATAATGAAGGTATTTAGGCGATATAAGCCATAACCGAAGGAGTCGGGGACTCGAGAGGGAAGGGGGGGGGGGCTTAATCCAGCTTAGGTGATACGTGTACTTAAGTAGATACTAATATAGTCCCTTGATGTGACCGTAGAAAGGGGATGAGGTGGGAGGGTTTCCCTTTTTCCACCGTCAAGTCAAGTGTCTAGTCGTTTGGATGGGACATTGGCGTGCACGTAAAAGATCCCTTGGCAGTTGGAATTCGATATAAGAGTAGGCCGTAGTGCCGCTGTCCGGGCAAAATTTCCCTCATAGCACACTGTATGGCGTATGCCCGTCTTCATTAGCCCAGGTTAGGAGCAGAACAGTAGGACGTTAAACTCCATTTCATTTCATTTCATTTAATGTTAGCCTGGGTTAGCCACAACATTGTAGTGATTACGCCGAGATCAAGCTGCCATAAATGACTTCAGTGAAATCACGTGCCCCGTATGGGCTAATCCGAGCCTTCGAAAAATAAAATAAACTGAAAGTAGTCTATTTTTAGTAACTAGACAAATCGGCCCCGTTTGTCGCGACGCAGGAGCGCCATCACGTAGTGATCTCTAAAACTATTATGGCCGCTTCCGCCTTCATTTCTATCGGGTTTGGAGCTCAAAGTACGGCAATAAACTCGCTCTAACTTGACTGAATGAAAAATCTAACACACCTTTCGACTTTGTGGAATAACAATCTATAATTCTACTGATCTTTTTTTTGAAAATCTTATCGGATTCCTGAGAACAGATGTAGGCCTATTTTCTTCATGATCACCATCAAAACATTGAAGAATCCATTATGTCGTAAATTTTATGTTAATTAGATTGCCATTACTTAGATTTTCCTTTTTCTCGCTGTTTTATTGTCGATTTGGGATGATACGAATATTTAGTATATATTAAAGACGTCTCTATTCATTTGACCTCATTTGACGTTTAAACCTATATAATGTACATGAATTTTAGGTACTATTTTTTTTGCGGATGAATACAGCTGTTCTGTAATGCTTAATATTGATCTGTAACATTAAGAGTTAAGTGGATTTATCTCCCTTTCATGATTAATAATAATGTTCTCATGAGCCGTTTTTTTTTCGGCATGAAGCCTTAGTGCATAAGGTACTTATATGTGTATCTCCCCTGTTGGGAACTATGTATACTATTATATTTTCTTACTTGACTGTCATTTGGGTTTTCTCTCTTTGTTTGCTCTGTACCATGTCCCCTGTGGACCCTTGATTGGAAATAAAGCTATTATTATTATTATTTATTATTATTGTATTCTGTTGTAGACTGTGAACATTTTGGATCCATGTGTCGACGCTTTAAATCACATGGATCCATTAAACCTTCTAACTGTTTAATTCCATTTTTTTCATTGAAGATTCTTATATTACAAATCTTTCCTTACACTAGAAACGTAATCACAGGGTTATTGTCTGATGGCGACGAATTTTTTGCTCAAAATAAAAAGGGTTTTATCTCTTCTAAAGTGTGTTATTATGAATGTGCCACAAAATAACAAGTATATTCAAAGAGCCATTGAAACTTACTTTCCGGTGATGTATGACACGATAACTGGAATTTCGTATTAAGACCCTTATTTTGACATTAAACACTCGCCCCACCCCACCACTCGAATTCAGTTAGTGCAGGCTAACTAACTTTGATCAATTTTAAAAAAAAGTATACAGGCATTGTGCCTTTAAAACAATAAGGTATAAACTAAACAAAGGATTGACTTTAATTTTCAGTATAGATATAATTATTTTGGATTAAGTCCCGCATTCTTACTTCAAATACCCATTCATGGTTCCTTTCAACTTGGTTCGTTTTTTAAGGTAAGTAAATATGAATGTGCAAGAAAATTATTTAAAGAGAGCAATAAACAAGCTTTTCTGTGATATGTAACATCATGGCTGTTGGGTGGTACTAAACTCTATTACTATGATTATGAAGCGGGGTAAGGTGGGTATTCAATGCCAAAATACGGTTCTTAGTACGAAATTCCAGCCATGATGTTACATATCACTGAAAAGCTTGTTTATTGCTCTCTTCAAATATATAAATAATTTTCTGGCACATTCGTATTTACTTACCTTAAAAAACGATCAAATTTGGGTGGTACTAAACTCTATTACTATGATTATGAAGGGGGGTGAGGTGGTTATTCAATGCCAAAATACGGTTCTTAGTACGAAATTCCAGCCATGATGTTACATATCACTGAAAAGCTTGTTTATTGCTCTCTTCAAATTTTCCAAGCTTTAAAATACCCCAGATAGAACATTCCCCAGGTGATGACCAATGAAGACAGTCATAAAATGCATTTGTTTTTATAGGAATTTCATTGGATATGTTTTATTGGATATTCTCTGTTCGTATTTAATAACCAAAGGTTGTCTTGCACTTAGTCTCTATAGCCCACCCGGTCTAATTTAAACTAATATTACAAACCCGTTTCGTTTTTTGCGTCTGACGTTTGCATTGGATTATACTACAACATCGAGAAAATACGCAAAAAAGGGAAATTGACATTAATTATAATCCCAGAGAATTACTTCAATTAGCGTTGTTTAATTAAGACTCATAACTGCCCAGTGAGCTCCAATTTCGCCAACAAGATCCTACAACGTGCAAGCAAGTCCCTTGTCCGGGAACGTATCCAACACCACCGGAACACCAAACACCGTCTGTTATGTCAAATCAATGGATTACATGAGGTTCTCAAAGACCAACTCACAAATGAAGATTTTAACTCTATCCGACACATTCAGACATCTACCAACCTAGCTAAATCGGAAGGAATTAAACAACGTCAACTCAAGAAACTTGAACAGCTTAAGCAGGAAAAACCCCAGAAACACCAATGGAAACTCAGCCCACCACAAGACAGATTTCTTCACCAAGACAGTAGTGAACCTAAGTAATAAAGAACTCAGTGATGACCAGATCAACCTGCTATCTAAGGGCCTGAAGTATGCTCCCTCCCTACCACCCAAAAACCACGATGATCTCATCGCCAATGTAGAGAAGGGCCTTCGACAACTGGCACCGGGCGGGAAAGTCGACTTTCTACGGCACCAAATAGCTAATTTGATAACAAAATCCCAAACCAAAAAGAACTCTAAGAACAACAGCAAAGCAGATAAAGAAGCAATCCAGGACCTGAAAGGTGACAAATCAATAACCATAATTCCTGCTGATAAAGGGAAATCTACAGTTATAATGAACACCAATGACTATCACAACACAGTAAACGTTCTCCTTCAAGACAATACCACATACAAGAAAATTAGGAAGAACCCGACCACCCACGCCCTCCGTACGCTAGAGCTACGATTAAAACTCATAAAAACCCTATCAAGGCAAGGTTACTAGTCTGCTCAAGGGACTCGGTGTTCTACAATGTCTCCAAACACCTCTCTAAGCTGCTTTCACCATTAGGAACAACGTCTTCTTCATTTATCAAGGACTCTACTCAATTCTGCCAAAAAGTCAGAGACGTCACTCAACCTGGAAGAATGGTCTCGTATGATGTAACAGATCTGTTTACCAACGTTCCCCGCCATGAAGCTACAGAAGTTCTCCGCTCCCGAATTGACAATTTAGAAGTTCCACTTGATACCAAATTAACAACTAACAGCATCATCGAACTTA